TCTTGAAGACTCTATTAACTTCAGTCTTCAACTAACAGTGTGTGCAATATCCATCCATCCATTATCAACACCACTTGTCCTGAATAGGGTCACATGGGAGCTGGAGCCAATCCCAGCTGACACTGGGTAAGAGGCAGGGTCCACTCTGGACAGGCCTATCACAAGGCTGCCACTTAGAGACACACACACACACACACGTGCAATTTAGTCACCAGCCCAGTCAACCTAAGCTGCATGTCTTTGGACTGTGGGAGGAAGCCAGAGTACCCGGAGAGAACCCACACAGGCACAGGGAGAACATGCAAATGCCACACAAAAAGGCACCAGGTCGGCCCGGGCTCGAACCTGGAATCTTCTTGCTGTGAAGAGACAGCACTAACCACTGCCCTGTGTGCAATAAGATTCCATATAAAAACAAAATTTTGCTCCATTCCTGCATGCCAACTCTCCATTTCTGCTCCAAAGCAATGACTGCAGCTTTGCACTCGAGTCCACCACAATCTCCAGAATAGAGCAGGACAAAGCCAGGCCCTGCTGTGCAGGCTGGCCTGCTATGAGGAGAACAGTAATCCGAAAAATGCAATGGATAGATGATACATGGATGGACAGTTACACTGCTTCCCCTAAACACAGGTTAGTGACATGGGTCACACAGCCAAGGCCAATCCACCTGAATTAGCATAGACAGGCAAGTTTCGTCTGCACAGGGTCAAAACTTCATGTCCCTCTGCAGGAGCTGGCCAAACAACACTAGGAGGTATATTTATAAAGCAACCTCCCTAACCCAGCATAGGATCTGACTGCCCACTAAGGCAACCCTCAAGTACCTCACAGTGCTGAGTGAAAACCCAGACATGGAGCCTGGTCCTGATGGCCTTTTCACGGGTCATGTCTTGTGAAAGCAGTTTGGTTTTGGGCACTGCTCATCGTAACAGAGATCCTGCTGTGGTCACTTCTTGATGGTATAAACAGATTCTCTGAATCACGATGGTTTCTGGCCAGTTCAGATATATTCTGATGTCCAGCTTTCAGCAATCTAGAGATTGTTCGGCTCCTTTTGTCACACTGGTGAGACAGTAGACATGAACATAGGAAGTACACAAGAGAGCCTGTCAATGTTACGCCTAATAAAGTGCAATGTCCATAGGTTTACTCAGTTATTCCTGCAGGGGTTTCCAGTGCATGTCAATAGCAATGCATTTGTTTTTTGAAAAATCGGTCACTCCGCTGTTGCTTCAGGACACTTCAGCCAATGTGATGAAAAATCGGTCACTCTTGCTTCAGGACACTTCAGCCAATGTGAATGCTTCCTGCAACTGTCAAGTCACTTTCTTACTCAACACACTATGCGCTTCAAGAGCACAGATTTGGCTGACAACATTCAGTCACATGGCCAAATGTTGATGGTATGGGAAACCTACAGGTTAGTGCAGACATTCTTGTCCCAAAATTGTTTTACAGTCAAGTAAAAAAAAAAGGTAAAAGTTGGATGCACTATCCTTATACAAAATTATCCCATACAATCCACACATGCACAGTAATGTATAGAAAAGGCCGGCCAGCCTTTGTACAAGAACATCATGCAGTGCAGTGTCCATTTTCCAAGCATGCAATTATATGCATACGTGTTCTGTGTGGTGGTGGTGCTTCAGGCAGTTTAGAGTGTTCTGTGTGGTGGTGGTGGTGCTTCAGGCAGTTTAGACTGATGACGCACAAAGAACATTGCATTTAAGCAGCGTCTGGACTCTGCAGAGTGGTGTGATGGCTTAAGTAGAGTTTCTGAATGTGTGTTTCCCTGGTGTTCCCCACCCCCAGCTATCACCACACAACGGCAAGCCTTGTGGCACAAGGGGAAAAAGCACCACCAGCCTTCACAATTGTACAGGGGCTTTTGTACAGGGGCCTCATGATATCCAACACCCTGGAAAATGGAGGATCCCGTTTCGCATCCCACTTTTCTCATTCAGGAAGCCAAAACAGGGGTGGAAAAGTCTTTTAGGAGCTTTTCAGAAGGGCTGGTCATCTGATACAGCAACACTCTGCACCTCTGATGCAGGACAGAGGCCCTTGTCCTAGAGACCCTGCATCTCAGCACTCACTGGGCTGCTGTGTTCCTGCCAGGCCGAGCAGCATAATGCACAGTGTGCCCACGGTAGGCCTCTTCCCAGCCATTTCCCCACCGACCACTCAGAGAACTCCACTCACTAATAACAGCCCTGCAGTGAAAGTCTCATCACCACTTTAAAACCCGAGTAGATGGCCTTTAGAGGAGGTCAGGCAAAACCCGAAACTCTCATCCACTAGGCTGGATCATGACAAACATGGAGGCTGTCAGAGATCCACAGCAGAGCAAGCAATTCAAATAAGCTTCGAGTGGGGGGGGGGGACAACAAAGCAGTGATTAAACTTCTCAGATTGCAGTCATCTCAAAGCCAGTATTTTGATATTAAGTACAGGATATGAAATGAACTATTAAAAATTGCCAAAAATGACAAGCAGAAATAGTTTACATTGGAGTGGAGGGAGACAGAAGGAATGTAAAATGTCTCAGGACACAAGATGATGCATACCAACATAAGAAAAATGAGAGAAAAGAGTGAATTTAAAATTGGTAAAGAGAATGGGAGAAAGAGCGACTCCATAAATACCACAAACATGCCAGGTTGTCCTGGACAGACAGACAAGAGCACGCTCATTCCTAAGGGTGTGCTGATAGAGCTCTGAGCAACAACAGCTTCTAAAGTTTGTTTTGGTAGGCCAGTACAGAAGTTTACTCTGCCATGGTTTGCTTACCACAACCTCACAACTCCACTGGGAAATTTTAGATGTAGTTTTGGGCCAATTCTGAAAACGTCAGCATTTGCATTTCCCTGAAGCTTAAGTACCTTCACTGAGAAATAATCCACCAATAAAACCACAGTCATATCAGTAAGCTCAACTGAGCATGTATAATTCATTTTCTAGACTGTTGCATCTGCTCCTTTGTCTAATTTGTGTAACAAATCTATTGATTTTCAAAATTTTGGGTGTCTCATAAGAAAAATTTAAAAATCAGAGAAGATATTCCGACTTATCTCCCAGAACACTAAATACTACATTTCCCATTACAGCATGTGACTGTCCATCTCTGGTAAATGTTCCCATCTTACAACTTCAGATTCAACAGTCTATTGCAAACTTTGAGGCTGAGTTTAAGACCCTAATCACATAATCAGTAATTTTCTCAGACTAAAGAGCTTCCTAATAAGCTACAGGAGACATTACAAAACTTTTCACAGACTGACAAGTACCCTTTGTGACAGTACGGGGGGGTCAAATGTCCCTTTAAAAGCTGCAAAATTCACAATTTGAAATGGTTTATTTATAACTTTTGAGCCAAAAGGGATGTATGGCTCATAATAACCAGTTCACTTCCAAATATACTCCAAGTACTTGACACTAAAAACAGCTCTATCTCCAGTCCAGCTGATTGTTTGCCTCAGGCATCGGTTGACCAAGTGAGCATCACATATCACACTCATGTCAGTTGAATCAAGCCAGACAGAGTGCATTCATGTCTGCACCCCTCCATTCCCTAAAACAGCTTGGCGGGAGACAACATGTGTCTTTGCGGTCACATCAAATTAGTTATAAGGAGGGACTTTGTCTCACATTCCTAATAACATTTTGTTGGGACCATATTTCATAATGTTCCTGACTGACCAAGGGAGTTTGATAAAGACATGCCAAAACTGTTCCAAAAACAATGACGGCATCCTCAAAAGACCCACTTGGACCCCAGTTAAATCATGTCTTGACTGGTTCACCTTTCTCCCAGTGTGAAAGGCATTCTGACAAAAGCCACCACTAACACCACTGAGTGAGAGTGCATCTGAATCCCATTTAGTATGTAAACAACTAAGAAGAGAAAGAGGAATCCCAAATCTGTCTTAAAAGACAGACCCTTTCAGCCAGCGGCCTCTTAGAAAGAGCACTCCACTGTTTTGAAGTTCAAACCTCTGCATATTTATCCAACTTCATGTGATGTGCCAAGTGATAAATTGCTGGAATTCTTTGCGACTTCACAAGAGGTCTGGTGTGTTTTTCCTGTACCGTCAGTACACATGTTCTGTCTTCAGTGGGACCCGTGCTTGAGACAAACCGTGTAGGCATAGCTGAAATAGCTCATGATGAACTTTCCCACAACATTTTCTCTCTTTAACTCAGAAAAGTCTTTCCAGAGGCCCAAGTTCCTCCTCTGGTTTTGTTGCTGGAATGGTAAATAAGCACTCCATAGTTTAGCTGCAGTCTCATGATAACCCCATATTCCACTGCTTACCGAGACTTACAAGTCTCCATTCAGACAACTAAAGGTTAAGGTCCTTGCTGAGACAAAGTCTTTTTTTTTTCTCCCTCCTCTTTAGCGCAGCTTCTGAATGAAACCATGACAAACGCTTGTTCAGCTTAATGTCAAATATTTTCAAAAGACTGACCTTTTCATTTCATGCACTCCCTGCTGTAAAAATGTCAAACCCTCTCCGCATTCTGCCTTTACTATGAAGCCCACATCCAGCACACTGGAGTCCAAACCTTTTGAAGGGCATCTTCTGTGGCACCAGAGACTAACAATTTAAGAGGAAATGTGCTATTCTTACAGCCTGGCAGTCTGGGTCAGTGCAGTCATAACAAACATCTCACCGAGAGGATAAAAACCTTCAGCTATACTGCCCGAGTGAGCTGTAGCCCAAGACTGAGGACATTTGCATGCATTTCTCAAGTATACTAGAACTACAGGTTCCACACTAGGACCTGCTCCAAGCACCCAGACAATGGTCCTAATCACTAAGTATGTAAAATCCAAAAAGCAGAAAAACTATTTTTATAGAATTATGAGTGGGAGAGACACAATTCAAACATGGCAAAAAAAAAAAAAAAAAAAAAAAAAAAAAATTCTGGTTTAACAGTCACAAATAACTGTCTCCCAGTAAGTACAAAGAAAAATAGGACTTGGCTAAACCAACCTGTGAGACTGGCCTGGACAGCCGGCGACTCCTCTCCTCTGGAGACCATGAGCGCAGCTGGACACTGCAGCATAAGCAAGACAAAGAATCAATACATAAGATTTTGGGGTGAACAATACAACATGAAATACTACTGACCCTCAGATGTTTTCATATAATTTATGTGCTACAGTAGCTACTCCCTTAATATCTCAGAAAAATCAGAATCAGCTTTAATGGCCAGGTGTGTCGGACACACGAGGAATCTGACTCTGGTACATCGGCTCTCAATGTGTATGTACAAGTATGGGCAAGTAAACAGTAAACCAGCATAAGGCTGTGTAGTATAACAAAATAAACAGTATTACCAAGCAACAAACAGTGCAGGCAGCCAAAGGAATGCTCACTGAAATGAGATAATAGGAATAAAAAAATAAAATAAAAATAAAAAATAATAATGGAGACCTGGGCAAGTAAACCAGCATAAGGCTGTGTAATATAACAAAATAAGCATATAGCTCTAGATATATATTAAGCTATTGTTGGCAATACTGCAAATAAAGGAGCCAGAATGACTTAGAGCAGTACTGGACTTTTAAATAATTAAAAAAAAAAAAAGTGTGCTTTCATTTGTCAGCCATTTGCTTAATTTGCCAAAATAAACATCCATATCTGAATTCATCCATAAATATTCATTTTCCAGTACTTCACATGATTTAAATCATGAAATCAAATTAAATCTGCATCACCCACCTATAGATGATGCATACGTACAAATCGGGATATTCATACCATGACATATTTTAGTCCAACAGGTTTCTTACTGATGTCACTGTAAACTTGTTCATTTAGAAATAAAGCACAATTTCTAAAATTGCTACTTCTATAAAACACAGATTAAATTTATTAAGATGAAAACAAAGGAAGAAAAAGACAGCAAGAACTGTAATTGCATTTCCACTGAGGATGAAATCCAGTTAAGAGCAGGGCAGGAAGCTTCATCAGTCCAGAGAAGGGAGAAAATGTGGGTTTGAACTGCGATCTACTAAAAGCTGTCTGGGACAGTCACCAAACATTCACACACAAAAAAGCATGGTGAACGTTCCACATTGTGCCTTTTGTTAAAGTGAGTGCAATCAGTGGAATGTGATGTCGTGTGCATATCCTTTGTTACTACAGTACAATCCCCTGGCTCCACTTTCGGTCTGTTATTACCATACTTATTCACTCTGATCCTATGTGGAGTCAAGAGAGCATTTGATGCAGCCTTTTGTCCACATGCAAGCCTATTTTATCAGTGAATGGATGTTTTTTTTCCCTTCCCTTTTTAGAAAGGTTTGCCATCAATCTGAAATGTTGAGCACTACAGTGACTGTAGACCATCTTCAGATCATGCAGATAGAATTTCTCTTTAATCTAGTGTTTCAGGTTGATTTTCCAAACTGCAATTTACAAGTAACCGGATCATACTTGTGAGACTTTAGACGGCACAAGTCTTTGCTTTCATTATAGCAATGGTAAGCACAGTGACAACGCGGAGTGTACAAGCTGGCTGAGGGTTCATATATGTCCAATAGCTTCAAAGACCACACACACACTAATGTTCAAGTTTTCCGGTGTGTTCTTTTTTTCCTGGGGCACAACAGATTCTTCACAACTTTACTGATGTTACAAGACACGGTTACCAAAAAAAAAACAAAAAAAAAAAAAAACACCCAACAATCTTGAGCATCAAAGATGATGATGATTATCTTTATCAGATAGGCAACAAAATCCACTTTGGCCTGCATATATGAACATGGCAGTGCTCTGCACAGATGTCAAACAGCTGGTCATCAGGGGAGCTACCTCTTGTTGGTGGTGGCTGTCAGCATCTTCCTGTCGGGGCTGGCAGGAGGGGCTGGTGAGTATGGTCTAGGTGACAGCGAAACAGGGCTGGAGATGGTGTACTCCCTGTAGTTCTGATTCTCATCTCGACTCACTTTTACTGCCTCCTATAAAACAGAGGACCATTAATGCATTAGTATCTGCTGAATGTAACTTGATATTTAATACTGTATTAAGAGGCTTAAGTGAGAAGTAAAGTATAGTCAACACGTGAAAATGACGGCACACAGAAATACATGGAAGTAAATGTGCGTCCTAATTTAAAACGAGTCTGCAGCCTATATACAGTATTGCCATGTAGGCAGAGCTCTAGGACTTGTCGTCTCAGTAAAACAGAACATGTACTAAATCTCAGCCATGTCTTATATTGTTTCCATCATCAGGATGGTGAAATAAACAGATGTGTGATGCGTGCGTTGGCAGAAAAGCCACCACATACCCCCTGCTGTCAAAATAACACATCATCCCAATAAAACAGGCACTTCTGTGCAATGTTGTGGAGCAAAACCAGACGGAAAACAGCTGTGGGACATCAATTTGCTATTTGAGGTCTTGTAATTAAGTCACAGCGTAGACAGATTAAAAGCTCCTGTGGGGCTGCAGCACTGACCTGGAAGCGTGCAGTGAACTGTTCAGGTGTGCTGATTCCATTGGTCTGTCCAGAGCTGCCAGGTTCAGGTCTTGAAAGACAAAACAACACAGAACTCACTCAATACAAATAAGTTTCACTTGCCACCTATGTAGCATGTAGGATACTCAGATCCTCTTACCGTTAAATTTCAACAAAACCAAAAAAGGTAGTGAGCAAATTTGTTAAAAACAAGTAAGAATAATGCCAACTGGGGTGGGGACCCAACAAAACCACACACACATATCTCATCCCCTTTGCTGAGGTTCTGTAAGCATCCAATGGCATGTTCCCAAAGACCTTACATATTATTGCACAAATATTGCAGACTATCCCCCTTTTTTGAAAATCTCAGCTTACCAACTACTCACATTCTATAATGAATTCCATCATTAGATTTTGTGGGGGAAATATGGTCAGAATAAGCGCCAACGCAAACTCGCAGTGCCCCCCCCCCCTCCAAACAGCTACGGGGCCAGAGGCTGACTGGCGCTTGGTTGAGCCTGGGGTAATGAGGCACACAGGAAAGCCTGGATGCCTGTGGTAAATCAGCTAGAAGCACACCTCGCGTGGCTGGGCTCCACATACTGCATGCGGGAAAACGACAACAGATATAGCAACTGCAAGCCACTTCTTTCTGTAGGCTATTCATGTAGCAGGCCTGACAAAGTCATTGCTTCAAATTAGGAACTGCATAAATCTGAAAACTGCTTGCCCCGAATAAAAAAAAAAAAAAAAAATCCACCTACTTTCTACCATGTAAATCAGAACAGTAGTAGAAAACATGGTCTTTAGACAAAGACATTTTGAAACCATTTCAAAATGTGATACTAGTGCTGGTATAAAAAATTTTCCAGTATAGTGATACTTTGTTTCTGTTAGTAATGTATTGAATTATTCATATTTAGCTTTTTTTTTTTTTTTTTTTTAAATATATGTGATGTGGTAAAGTTATGATTTAGGTTATACAGATTCACATTTGTTATAGCACTGACTTTACCTGGCTTGCCATTTGAAGACTGATATCTAGGCCTGCTGTTTTAACAGTCAAGCACATCTCAAAGAAAGGCGATAAGGTTTATTTGGCCTTTACTGCTGCAGCAACAGCACTTTCACAGTAAGTGTTCTGACTCTTCAGTGGCCAAATGAGATGATGATGATGATTATGATGATGTTTTAGGGTATGATAGCTGCTGGATGCACACAAGCACTTCAAAACATCTCGGCTTTAAAGAGGAAACTATTGTACTGTTCCATTATAGATGTATGGTGACCCTACAGTACACATCATCATCACCCACAAGGCAACAAAGAACTAATTAAGTCCATGTAAGGAACTGCAAACAAAATCTGACTTAGGAAAAAAACAAACAAACAGGCAATGAGAAGACAGTTATGGTGTGGTGGTTTTGTCATGTAAAAGCCTGGGATGAACATGTCATCGGATGCACCAGCAATAAACCGCTGCCTCCGTTTACAGCAGCAGACACGTCTAAATCCAGCACATCTATTCTGAGGATGGGCTAATGACAGTCAGCTGCTCCAGTGGGCAACACCAGTTATGTGATGATAGCCAGTACCCACATCACAGCAGGGTTGATGAGAATAAACTGCCAACCAGATGTGGAACTGGAAAAGGGAGTGCTCTTAAATAAGCAACCAACAAATTAAACTTAACAGAAGGTGCTACTCAGTTACACACTTCTCTAGAGCTTGTTTGCACATAATTAAAATAGACATGAGTGTCATTACAACAGCAGCCTGGGAGGAGCATCCGATTCTTGGTGCTGAAAACCACTGGTAGTTAACAGTAGGATTAAAGACATGGCAGACATACACAGTGGCATTGTCCTGGGCAGGCAGGGAGCAGTGGTGTTGTTTCTGGCTTGGTGAGAGACATGAAGTCAGCAGGGAAAAATTCACTCACATGGACACAGGATATCCAAGAAAAAAAAAAAAAAAAAAAGTGAATGTGTATGTCTGCAATGCAAGAATGACAAGGAACAGTGTTGACAAGAAATGAGATTTTAGGGGGGACCTTTAATCAAAATACCAGCCAAAAGCAACACTAGCTCAAAGGGAACACTCTTCAGTGCTCTGTCACCCATAAAATGTTTTGGCAAATTTCAAAACAGGGTTTATTAGGGAGGACCAGGGAAGGGAACAGTGTGGCTCTCACCACACACACTGGCATTTCCCCTGATTACAATCACTGGTTTTGTTTGTACAGCGTTTGCATGACAAAGTTACAAAACTGGGTAAAGAAAGATGAAAGCTGGGAAGACTGTGATCCTGACAAACAGAAAATTAGGCACATTGAAGACAATGGTATGGGGAGCCATACTGCACAACACTGCATATGTACAGTATTTATACTTTGTTTATAAACCCAACACACTGTACAACTAATTTTAGCAGGATTATTTGTCTAATGTACCTCTCCACCATCAGGTGCAGATGGGTCTTTGAGTTCTTGATCTTGTTCTGGGCCTCCACATTCAGCATGTCTGTGGTGTTTTCCCCATTGATTTCCAAGATGATATCACCTGGTTGCAGGTCTCCCTGCGCTGCCTTGCTGCCCACGTTGACCTGTTAAACAGAGGAAGGAGCTCTAGTTACAGTAGGTCCCACTGCCCTAATACTTTATCTACCTGGCAAGCTTGAACAGCTCTGATTCTTAAAGCTGTGGACAATGTGTTAGTGAAATTTGCCACTAAGGTTGGAGTGAATGAGAAAAGGTCCAAGTTCCTTCACACTCTTATTCCAACTGTCTCTCTACAACTAGTATTTAATCCTAATACCAAGAGACGCCACAGCATTTCTCTCTCTCCCTCTCTCACACACACGCACACACCAGAGCAGTGCTGGTCCACGGCGGACAGATTCATGACACCCTCTGGGAGAAGTCATTAATGTGACACTACTTGACGGTTTGACTGGGCCTGACCTTTGCAAACAGCCTCGCTGCATGTCAAAGCCAATGCTATACTACCACATCAGAGGGGAATTCCACACTAATGGGCCGAAACATTTCATCCAAGCCACAACTCTCAGCTTGGTTCCTGTATCCCAGGCATGTTCACACAAACACACAGGCTTTCTAAAACAAAGCCAAAATGAGGAGACTGAAGCTCAAACTGCTCAGACTTTAGAAAGTAGCATGACATTTGCAACAACTAAAAACAGAGTGAAGCAATAACAAATTTATAACCAGTGAAGATGAAAGTCATTCCTGCATCTCTAGAAGAAAAAAAAAGGATGCACAGAGAATGCCAGTCAAAAGACTGTTTGTCAGTTTAGCCCAGCACAAGGGCAAAGGTGTCATGTCTGTGGGCCCACTTCAGGGGCAATTAAGCGTTGCTGTGGTGACCCACACTAGTACATGCCTCTTCGATCAGGACGAACCTGGTTTCACATAACATAAGAGCAGTTGGGGGTTCTTTTCCAGGGTCTGAGCCTGAGAGAAGAAGGGGGCAAGCCATCTTTCAGGGCAACAGGGGGGGGCATCAATGTTCTATCTCTGTTCCAAGCTTCAGCCACAAAGGGGGTTCGGAGGGGGCGACTGAGACTAGCCGTTTCTCAAATTTCAGCGATGAAGTTTCTCACTCAAGAAGAACATATTTGATATTTCAGACAAGCAAACATGTTGATGAATACAGCGAGTCAGTAACAGGTGGGGCCTAAACTTAACCCAGACTTAAAGACAGTTACCAAGGAGGGACCCGTTTTTCTAGTGCAACTTGTTAAGAGGGGACAAACAATAAAAGCTTCTGAATATAAAGGACATTCAAACTCTGGTTGCTTGAAGCATTGATGTCCTGCCATGGTTTTGCCACAAAATTCCTGTAGAAATACCACACACGTATTACGGTAAAAACTGACTGATGCACGTGGTCACGCATGCACGTTGTTATAGAAACACTGCTCTAGGATCAGGAAGCCCCTCACCTTCCACCGCAACTATAATCAGTGGTTTCCTTCTAATGTAATCTGCTTCCATCCTATTCTCACGGGTACAGTAGTCAAGGAAATGGGTGCAAAGCAGCCCGCAGACACAAACAAAGAGAAGAAAAGAGCAACAGCAAGGAGGAAGCCGACTTTGCATGACATTACAAACTATGTTTTGACAAAAAACACAGGACATGGTTTGATAAGGTGCGATGAGGTTCAGCAACAGAGCGGCTGTTGAGGAGTACCTTTGTTACAGTTATGGCCTTCTTGAAGTCCCTTCCTCCAGATATTCTGAAGCCCCATGGTGAAGGACCAATCAGGTTCACTGTCAGCGCCATTGAGTGATCTGGTCAATACTAGTCAAAACCCTAGGGGGGAGAAAAAAAAAAAAAAAAAAAACACACAACAAGAGTCAGTGAACATGACTGAGTGAGAGTAATATGTGAGGACCTAAACTTTGGATATTTACATGAGAACAACTCTATAAACCTGCTTAATTGTTTAGATGTTTTATGTTTGTAATGCTACGTTTGTAGATCCTGCTTCTCATCAAGTCCGTTGTGAGTTTTCCAACCGCAGCTCCAGTCTTAAAATGAAATCACTGAGATGTCTGTGTATAGTGAAACCATGTGAGGAGTCCTGATTCTATTCTTGCAGACAGAGATGGTGTTAATGCAACATTCAGACAGAACAAATCATAATGCATCATCCATCATGGTTAGTTGCTGTTCTCATTTTTCCATATGTGGGGGGGGGGGGGAACCCACTTCATTTGAAAAAAATTTTGGGGTTGACATTCAGTACTGGCTATCATACTGTATGATGTGCCTCAAGATCTTGCTAAGCATGTACTAATTATTTTTATCCATAACAACTCTAGACAGCAAAGTAACAGAACAGATGATTAACAGAGCCCGCAGATGGTGAGAGTGGAGTTTTCAAAATAGTAGGCTACACGTTGCAAAATTATAAGTGGTGATGACGGCATGGTGTACACTACAATCCATGGCACAAAGATTTTCCCCAGAAGCCTGCAAGAGCTCCTGTGTGTGTGTGTGTGTGTGTGTGTGTGTGCGTGCAACAATGAGGATCCATGTGATTGCACGGTTTCCTAAAATTCTGGTAGAATACCTACTGTACACGTCTTAATGTCTGGCCCATTCTTACTCTATGTACAGTACAAGCCACTCGGTGTCAAAATTCTCAAGTTACTTTGTGTCCACTGTTGACATGACAATATGAGAATGTCCCCATTATCAAGATTTACAATGATCAGATGGGTTATGAACCATAACACAGATGATGGTAATAATATAAAACCTTTTAAATACATTCCAAATAAACCTTTAACTACTTTGGAAGGGTTATCTAAAACAGCATTTTCCACCAGTCACAATCAACTAAGCTCACTTTTAAGTAATCGACCTTTATATTAGCATTACTTCCACCCCCCCCCCCCCCCCGACTTGAGGGTAAACAGATGATTCAGTTGCCACTTTACTCAGACTCAGCTTTAGATCAAGCTTGTCTGTTGAGAATGCATGTGGAGACAGAGCTCTGTGGCACACAGTGATGATGGGATGAGCAATTAGAGGTTCTTAAACATAACACCTGCACAGTGCAGACACACACACACACACACACACACACACACACACACACGCTGTGAATGAAACTAATCTCACTGAGACAGCACAGTAAGTAATATAGGTGCACTCGCAGACGATGACATAAGATATTTTAAGCTTAGATAAGTGCTCTAAAAATAAATCTACACCCAAACAATTTCACATCACCTGGTGTTTAACCCAGAGCACACACACGTGGCTTGGTCTTGCATAATACTTCAAAAGTAAAAGCAGAACATACACCTCATAGTTACTTTCTATAGAGGTGCAATTCCTTTTGCATCAATAACTAATTATTAACTCATTTTCAAAAGGCTTGAGAAAAGCAAAGTCAGCAGCTTTATTTATAAATTAAAAAAAAAAAATCAGTACATAGTGTCAATTGACAAATTTATCCATTTGCACTTTTGATAACCTTACTGTGGCTGCGCTGAGAAACATGGATTCATGTCCGATGATCTCAACAAGTTTATTACAAATGTCAGATGGTAAATGAGGCTCTTACCAATCTCTCTAAATATAAAAGCAACAAATGTCCGTCAGTGATCATGGACTATGGAACAACTTGCCGTTAGAGATGAGATCTAGCCTCAGGCACCTTCACCTCAAAACTCTTCTTTTAAAACTGGCTTTTCAGTCCTCTTATGTCATATCCATAGCCGACTGTCTTAACACTGTCATGTTTCTTGTCTGCAAATTGATATTTATTTTTGTCAGCTGTGTCTATGGCTGTGTTGTGTGACTCGTTTCTTATCATTAAGCGCTTTGGAACAGAAGTAAATTTTGCTTTTCATTACAAACATTTCATTCTGGCTCCTGAATATATGGAGGTGAGGAACAAGACAAACTTCTAGAACGCTATTCTCCTACAAACACTGGCCCGTTTCATCATCTGCACATTCCACAAGTGTTTGGGTCAAGCGGTGCAGACCCAGTTACTTATTAAGAGTCTGGGCCAGTTAGCAGGGTTACTGGGCTCCTCACCATTAGGGTCTCTTAATTGCTGTGGCCTCCAGAAAGAAGTGCAGTTGCAATAATGACAGGGAGCAGTCATCCCAAAGTTTCCCAGCCTCTGGGGGTGTCAATTAGTTCCATGGGCCTTGGCAGCTTCTCCTATAGAGCGACTTGAACCAGCACCCTGCTAATTCTCTGCATAAATGTGCACTGTTTGCATCATAAAAAAACAAGGGTGGATAATGTCAAGTGAAAGGATGCGGCAGAGCTAACAAACAGCAGAGAAGAAAAACACACAGCAGCAGTGAAGAGAAGTGGCGCACTCAGGGACTGTCTAATTGGCCACTGATGACATTTTAGGATTGCAGTGCAGCTCACATAAAGCAAAAGCGTTCTAACACAGTTTGATGAAACCGCTACCACAAAAAGGTCATGCTGGGCAGCTGCCAGTACACAGGAAAGGTGAATTCTATTCTGGTGACATCTCACAGCGTTTTCTGATACATTAATCTGGCAGCACAGTTAAAACACACTCAAACACAACAAGACTTCTTGTAGTCATTTCTGTGGCTCGCAGTTCAAGTCATACAGCAAGAGGTGAGGGGAGCTCAAACAGCTACAGAAGCTGTAGTGTAATATTCATTTCAAACAAACTACTGACAGATTTGACTCTCCTGCATACCTCCATAGCAGTAGGTAATTTTATAAATTACAAGAGGCAACATCCTGATTTCCTAAACAGGTTTATGCAACAGTTCAGACACCAAGTCGAGAGTTTATAAAGTTACGCCTAGCTAAAGCTAATGTAGTATATTATAACAGCAATGCAATAAAAGCCTACATTTAGTTTTTGTTAAGAGATGCATTGACTCCACTTCATAGAGACTGGAGACTAAAAGTCTGTGCAGCTGGAGTATCTCATAAGAAAAACTAGACAGCCTTCAGAGAGCGCAAACCTCTGCCAAGAGGCAACTCCATTTCCCCATAATACCATAAAAGCAACACAATGTCCCCATGACAGTTTGACCCTCATAATATGATTGCCTGACCATGAAGACCTACTGCTGAATGATGCCAATATCATTACTAGTTTGAAAGTTATTCAAGAAAAATGACAGACATTCAGTTGTTGGCTTAGGGGTAAACAGGGACTTCATTGAGTGGACCATGGGCAAAGTAGTAACATTTCTGCAAGTTTGTGTTATGCTTGTTCAACTGCTCATACAGTCTCTGTTGCTGGCTGATTGTTGCACACAGCATAAAGTACAGTGGATAAGCAAAGCACAACGGTCCGTGTCAACTTGTGGCGTTATGCTGGGTGATGGCTAAGGGAAGCATGGGGTGTACCACTCACTAGGTTCCGACAGCAGAAACTCAGCTATAATGTGCAACTTGAACACCGACATCCTTGCCAACAGATTACCATGCTCTGAATGAGAAAAGGCTTCCTCCGACATTGAATGGACAGCAGTCACTAATCCAGGGTTTTGTCTCTCTATGTGCTCAGCAGCACACTTTGGCCACAAGGGGGCTCATATACAGTCAGCAGCCTTTCCATCACTCAGTAGTTAATAAGCTTTAAAAACATTCCTGTACCCAAATTATGATATGAATCAGCACCAAAATCAACTATTTTGATGATTGTTATAATAATAATAAAAAAAATAAAAAGCTCTCAAATATCCTCTAATCCCAGCTGCCAAATTGTGAGGATGTGCTGTTTTTCTTTGTTATAAGCGATAATAAACCACAGATCTTTAGGTTGTGGACTGTTCATCAGCCAAAACATGAATATCACCAATTCGAGATTTAGGAAATTGCGATTTCACAGTTTTGACATTCTGCAGACCAAACAATGAGTCAAAAAAAAATATTCTGGTGATTAAACTATGAAAATAATCATTAGCTGTAGCCCTAAGGCACTGTTCACCTCGTTCCAAAGTGTTTGTCATATGCACAGTTAGGAAACGCATTTCCCTGTACAATGAAATTCTTGCTTTGTCGTCCACATGAATGCCACAAAAATACAAGTGAAATATAAAGTAGATAAGCAGGCAACACAATCCAAGGCACTTTCAAGCAGGAAATGAAAGAAGAAGAATAAAAATACAACAATATAATGTCGAGAGAATGTATGCTACATGCGATGTGTAGTCGCATGTGATTGTCCTTTACATTTAACATAAGATTTATGATGCTTATTTCCAGTGAGTACAGGATGAGACAAGACCACCAAGCCTCCTCCAACAGTGAACTGAAGCAGGTGACCACCCTACTGTACCTTAAAAAAAACAAAAACTATACCTTCCAATATTTTGTCACTACTGTACGTTTCAATGAAGAGCTGGCACTTGGACTACACTGGATCTCCAATCAAAACTAAGACTGAGGGAAAATTCTATACACTGAACAAACAAAATATTCACTACAAGCAGCTTGAGTACTGCTAAGTACATTGTACATATAGAGCTCAATTTGAGGGGACACGTCTGGTGAGTTTGCTTGGCTCAGACTATTTCAGTTTACATAGGGACACGCTCACTCTCTCAGGCTCTGAGTCCATCATGTATACACGTTATATGTTAAAGACCTTTGGGCTCTTGTCACATCTATGACAGACTGTCCCTACAGGCAAATAGAACAGGCACTTGGTAACACTGGATTCAAGACTCGATGCTCCAACATGCAGAGAGCCTTGGGTGTTACATTTCATTACCTATAGGAATTTCCAACACATTTCTGACATGAATGATAGTTGGTTGATGCTTTCTGAATACATTCTTGTAGAGCAGAAGTTATAAAAACTATCACCCATATACAGTAAGTACAGTATATCTATCACACTGTGTTTGCTGTTAGTAACTACAAACAGTATGCAGGTATTTTCATTTGACTTTGACTAGAAACAAGATGTGCCTCGCTGTGACTTTTGGTGGCGAGGGCTGTTAAATGTGAATGATTGTAGACAATAACACAGAACGATCTTCAGTATAGTAGCATGGAAGGGTAATTTGGGTCAAATCAATGAAACCTGCCAACACAAGTCTGAAACTGTGTGTATAATTTACTGTAGTGTGGCCAAAACTATGACTCACCCATGATGAGTCAATAACTTTGCCACCACAACACAGTTATGGCAGCCGGTAGTCCTGTTGACAGTTACATTAGCATGTAGTAGAGGAAAAAAAATACTGCAAAGAATACATGGCCTGTTAAAAGAACATGTTGTTAAGATAACCCTTAACATCTCACTTGTTCCAAGGAATGAAACATTTGTAAAAACAACCTGCTCCCAGATGTACAGCAGTGAAATAGTCATGTCAAGTGAACTGCTTTAGATTAACTCTGCTAGCCGACTGTAGAATAAAATGTCGGGTAGCCAAACTTGGCTACCTACATTAACTCTTCATCTCTTCCCTGAATCACTAGAATCCTCAACCAAGACCGGTTTTTCTTCTTCTTGAATTCTGGGCCAAAATACACAGGATCAAAATGAACAAGCACAGGGTCTCCAACATGCCAATACTGAAAGAGCGGGTGATGAACATAGCAGACGGCAATACACTCAACTGAAAACTCTGGCTGAGCTTTGATGGGTAGGAATACTGAACCACTGTGGCTGTAGGGAATATTCCAGGTATGAATCACACCTGTCAAGCCTCTTGCTAGTGGCCATACTTTAGCATGAACTTTCCACAGCCCGTGAGAGGCTGTCTGCGGTCAGCCCCACTGTGTGTGTCACCAACAGGTTGGCACCTACGTGGAAACACACACCCACTGAATAAAAAGGACAAGAATGCAGTAGCAAGCCTCTCCCTGGATTGATCAGACTGAAAAGATAACATTCTGTACATTCTCCAAATCACACCTATTGCATTCTGCAAACCACAGACATACTGTATGTAGGTGCAGTCACTAGGGAGAGGAGCAGCTACCAAACAATAACAATAAGAAACTGGGGTGTTGGCTGAGCTGCTGTGCTGTATCGTCATCATGCAGCTTTTAAGGCTAATAGCCTGTGTGTCATCAGATTAACCATAGGCACAGTCATATTTGCAAGTCTGGTGGGTTACTCCCTTCTCAGTGAGAACACTCACAGGATGCTACTATAGACTTTGTGCTGTGACATAATCATAAGAGTAATACATTATGTTATCTACTGCTACAACAAGTTAAATTCTAAAATGATTCATCTTGCCTTCTTGAAATCCCCTCTGCCACTATGCTACAGCACAGCTACAGCTGACTGAGGCCACTGTGACATATAGTTTGTAACAATACAAGGACCCTGTGGTACCAGCTCCACTCTTCTCCATCTTCATCTTCATCTGGAAATCACGTTACTGCTCTTCAGACTGAACACTCTCACCAAATCAGCAGAGTTCACCACATCCTGTCCCTGTATCATGACACGCTCCCCACAAACGGCACACAGCAACTTTGTTCTTTAGCTGTGCACTCAAAGTATAATAGTGCATCTCATTCAGAAACCTGTTTGACTCAGTGAAAAACATCTGTTGTATTGACCCACAAACTGATGTTTTCACAAAATCTGATGCAGAAGAAACAGTGAAGACAACCCTGCAAAGCCTCTGCTTAAACTGAAAACCACACTTCTCTGAAAATCATTTTGGTCTTTCAGAATTCTGATACTGACTTGCATGGCATAACCTTTGCACATGTACATCACAGAGAAAAGCTGCCTGTTGAAATCCCTAAACTAAATAAAATGAGAACACTGTAGAATTTAGCAGAAACTAAAGACTAAACCACTCTTTTGCTTCACTGCAAAACAAAAGAATCTTTTCTGAGTAACAAGGTGACAAGTTGGCCTTCTCCCCATTTTCTCTAAAACCCACTGTTTTGCTTTGTCCTAAATTACAGTGGACTGTTTTTGGTTCCTGGATAGCTTTATCCTCTCCGAGTAAAGAGACGGCATTCTTTCAAAATAAAAGCAAAATCACAGTATAAAGTAAGAGGGGGCTAGGTAGGGCACACTCAAACTGGAGCTGACCATAATCACAATGGAGAAGGTACACACAGACAGCAGGTGGTGGGGAGGTTTGGGAATGTGATGGTTTCACTGGGGTGGTTCTGAATTACACATGAACTCTGAGAAACACCTCAAGTATGTTCCCACCTGCTGAGCTGGCAAGCCACGTCTGTTCATTTCTAACACTTCATTAAGTGAACTGGAAAAACAGGAAAGAATTACAGCTGTAGAGAGTCGATTAAAGTGGACCTGCTATGTCAGAGCTACCAGCCCCGATCAGGACACAGAAGATGGCAGCTTCTTCTTCACCAATTGTGCCAATGTGACATAAATAGTGAAGCTTCCCGAAGCTGTACCTGGTCCACCGACTGCTTAATGTGTAAAAGTAAAGATGTACTGACTGAGCGAAGGACTACAGAAGGGGCTGGAAGCCTGCACTCTGTGTGGACTGGTGACTACTAATTTCCACTAACAGCACGGTCCATTAGCCAAAACAGCTCGCAGTGAACACTTTAATTGTGCGCACAATTTGCATCAATCACGATTTATGGCTTCACGGCATTCTCTACGCTCCCACACTCTCTGTGAACATGTCAGGCTTTACCACTGCAATAAACCTATAAGAGCCACACTACCTGTCATAAAACATATCACGTACAGCAGCCTACGTCACAAGAACCTGACTTAGAGGCACTTGTAGTAGTCATATGTTCACTTACCAAGGTGAGGGCACCGTGATTTGAGGCGTCTTCACCTGTTAACAGCAGGTCCCAGTTCACCTCAGCCTGAAACAACGGACGCCTTCAAAATGTGAGCAGAAAAAAGCAGCTGTATGAGCTTCCTTCGTCAGCGTAGGAGCACTAAACCGCGTAGGTCCCTGTCTCAGTCGCTCTTCTGTCCTTTCAGATGTTAGGATGACACGCATTGACACCACCTGTGTATGCGCGCGCTACCATCTGTTGCTACCAAAATAAAGGCTTTGACATGGACAGAAACCCGGGGCGTGTCATATCTGAGAGGAGGGAGGGGAGGAGGGTACCGCAGTGATAATTGAGCCATTTATCCACAGTCGCATTTGGATGCGTTTTGCGTCCGCGCGCCATCTGTTGACGGATCACAGCTGAGCGTGCGCATCAAATCAATGGCGCTCACCTGGTGACATAGGTGCAAATAGGTCGTTGATTAGATGGTTAGGCTTGCTTAGTTATTTATATCCAATAAATATACAGTCGTATGCAAAAGTGTGGGCCTTATTGGACGCATTTTGTTCGCAGACATATTCTTTCCTCAAATGTTAATGCACCGTTGCTTTTTTATTTTATGAGCTTAAAGAATAACTATAGGGAAAAGGTATCTGTGAAATGTGCAAAAGTTTTGACATCCTTCTACAAGTAAAACATTCAGAAAATCGGGTTAGGACTTAATTAATTGGCACTTGTAAGGCAGGCCAAGTATTGTATAGGACTTGCCATCTGGTAAATTCTATGACTCTTAAACCCTTGTGGTAACACTCAACAACCATGGTTTCCTCAAAACAACTAACTGAGGACCTGACCCGTAAGCTGTGCCTAGAAAACAAGGAAAAGCTATGACAAGATAGCAAAGTGTTTCCAACTCAGATTTTCCACTGCCTGAAATGTCATTAAGAAATGATTAGTTAAGCAGACAAGATGAAAGAACTTCCAGATAAAACTGCACATCTAATGGGTAAAAAGGTATCACAAAACCTCCATACGACTGCTAAGAATCTGCAGGATGTGGCAGCTGACACAGGCATAGTGGTGCACTGATGCAGAAACAAGGTCTACACAGAAGTCATCACCTGTCTTCTTATCACAAAAGTCACTGAAGTGTGGAAAGCAGCATCTGGAAAAGATGGTAACATGTCCAGTGAACAGATCTCTGGCCACACTCATCAGAAGTATGAAGAAAAGAGAGAACAGCATTTGATGAAAAGAACATGTCAGCTGTGAGTGGAAATATTCATCTTTGGGGTTGTGTGGCAGCCAGTGGCACAGGACACACTGTATGCATAAAGGGATTTCAGTGAATACTAGCAGATTCTGGATGCAACTGTTGTGCAGTCTTCTACACCAAGAGGCTTCTACAAGACAACGATTCAACGCAGACTTCAAAAATCCACCATGACCTACTTTAACAAATACAGCCTGAGGCTTTTGGTGTGTTCCAAAATCAAAAATAGAAAGATTCTAAACTCTTACATAAAACATTTACAGGCTCTCTGCTAAGGGGGAGGTTAAGGAGTACTGGCTTAGCAAAGTGTTCAAACCTTTGCAGATGGTGATTAATTTTTTTAAGCTCATGAAATAAAAGGTAAAAGTGCATTGAATAAAGGCTGTTTTATTATATATTTTCTGCTTTTCACTTCATAAATCTTTTTTGAAACTTTTGCATGTAGCAGGTGATGACACTGGGTTATTTATTTGATTTGTATCTTCAGTGAAGCTGTTTTGAATTGTTTATTTTCTTAATCTTCCTACTCCATAATCTTAGTTTTTCTTTTTTTATTAGGTTACATAGAGAGTCAATGTAACTACACAAAATTAACAAAATCACAAAAAAGGAAATTTGCTAAACCTCAAGGCTACAATAATGAAGCAAAAAAAAACAAACAGTTTTATTAAAATGTCTGATAATTTTTAGTTCCAGCTCAGCTTTATACTCACTTTAAATGTTTGTTGTATTAATACAGAGAAAAGGAAGTAGCCTTCTCATTACTTTGTAATGTTTAATTGCTTAAACAAAATGCGTACCATACACGGGTTACATTGATTTATAGGCAAGTATATTATATTTTCAATTTGATAAAAGGTTACAGTCTATACAATCATCTTCTGTGGCAAATAAACATGTTTCATTTTTACAGTGAAATCATGAAAATATCATAAAGATGCAAACTGACTTCATGATCAGGAATTCTCACTAGGCTTAGAAAGGTCACACATCAAGGGCTACAGTGGCACAAACATAAGCCGTTTTCTGAATACTGTTTTCAAAAAGAGAATGTTAAACCCATAAGCAGACAAAACATTGCAGAAGCTGTAATAGCAAAGATAATGTGTGCTGTGAGTTTAATGGAGAATTAAACAAAAGACATAATGAAATGTTAGATTTGGCACATACTGTGATATTTCAAATACTTTTAAAGATCATTCAGCCATTAGCTGAGGATGCACTGCCTAGGTATGTCTTAGAGCTATTCAACATAAATGGTCTTGTAGAACTTACAGAGGTTTGAAAGCAACTTCTGTTAGAGCACAGAACAGGAGCTGTCTCTCTACTTTCACCTTTGGCAATCCACTCCATGGCTTACCAGGGACAAACATCACCCAAAACAGCCAAATATTCTGCCACAAATAACTTGTTTAAGAGACCAGCACATGCATTATTGTACAGTATTTTTGCCTTCGCATAGCCACATAGAGGGCTGTAAACTTATCCTGACATGTCCGAGCCCTTTCTCTGTTTTACTTTAAGCACATATCCACAGATGTTCCTGTTGTTTCCTCAAACCTGCCCACGGTATTTTCAGACATCTGAAAGAAAATCTGGAGAAGATATTTGAATTAACATTAATAATTCAATAAAATGCTTCAAGAATGTTTCACTCTCATTCAAAATTCTCTGCAGTGCTCTGTGATGGCACCGTGGTGACAAAGCTGAATGCAACATCATACTGTTTCAAGGCCTCAGAAGGAACAATGCTATTCAGTGGGAAGGAATGCAAATTTCCTGCAGCTGCAAACAGCTGTGAAACAAAAACATCCATTCTTCGCATCTGAAACCATATAATCTGCATTCATCCTTTTCTCTCAAGTGGTGCGTGTGAAAACACTCTCACACACATGTGCACACTCATGCAGGGAGGTGAAGTAAAAAAAAAACCCTGCATGATGTCCCTGCTTTCACCTTTGTTCTGGGGAACAGAGTGAACATGCAGGTCTGACTAAACCAGGCTTGAGAGTGTGGTGGGTAACAGGATGAAGAAATGCTGTGGTGTCAAAGCAAAATCTGTTGGTGAGGACTGGAGTGAGTCCATATGGATGTGGAAGTCAAACTGGTGCCACGTAATTCCCAGGAAAAGTCCCAAAAGCACGAGTCCTTTCTGACGTACCTACAGAGAGCAGAGCACACGCTGAGGTCACACAACAGAAACAAATATAGGTATAGTCTGCTTTTTTACTCTACAGCTAAAGCAATGTACAGTTTAACTTAAATATCTGCAATGCTTCATTCTGTCCACTAGAGGGCGGACTGACACCACAGAACGTGTTGTTATTATCACAATCACATAGAAACACTTGGCTGCCTTAAAAGTAAGCTTTTCTTGTTTGTTTGTTTGATTTTTAGTCAAATGTCACTGAATAATTTGTGATTATAATAAACTGCAGACATACTGTAAAATCCATTTTCTTTACTTTGGTCTTTGATCAAGTATGGGTAGGTACACCATCACCGTTTTTTTTTTTTAACAATCCCTACTATAATAAGTCACTTTACTGTCCAAAACTGTTGGACCATTGGTGTAAAACCTACAGAAAAGTAAAAAATTAATGAAAAAAAATCTAACTAAAACCACACAACATAATAAATGCTTTATACAGGAGGTATAAAGGGCTCACTGAAAGGTCTGATGAATACGCAAAATATCTGAGTTATGGCTTTTAAAGTCACTTAATACAAACAAACACCTAATTTGGAGTAATGTGTTGCCAAATGAAGGAATATCTCTTAGAGAAAGTATGATCCATCCCTTTAATAGATGTGGTTCTGGAGGCTTGTGGCAGGATTCCAGACACTTGTTTCCTTTAATTTATCACCCATCTCTACATAATGTCCAGCTAAACTATTCTGTTTACACAAGTAATCTGTTGAGGGAGGAGCATACTCTGAAAGTGACATTCTTTGTGATTCTAGAATAAATCTCTTTATTCCTTACCTACAAACCAGCCATCATCACATTTCTCCATCACTTGTACAATGTCTCCTTCCTGAAGCTCCAACTCATCTGAATTCTGTGGTTTATAGTTGTAAACAGCTTTATATCTACAAATGAGAAGATGGAAGAAATTCACCAGATCTCAACACTTGGCCTGTACTGCAACAATATGAACAAATAAAAACATTTCATGTTCAGGACGTACGGTTGGCGTTGCACCACTATTGAGCCAGGGCTGTTTGGCACTTGTGCTTGTGGCTGGGAGTTGACAAGTGGGTTAGATGGAGCCACCCGGATTGGTACTGCACCCTGAAAGAAACAAAAACCTCATGTCAGGCTTTATGAAATGAAGACTGATGAGCCACCTTCCCATCAGCACAAACAGCAACACCATGGGTGTGGACATGCAGTGACTTTTTCAGGGAGGCAGTGAGAGCAGACCTGTGAGGGGTCAGTGTATCTGGGAGTGTTTGCTCTGGGAGCTCCTGCTCTGTGTGCAGATGCTGATGACTGAGTGAAAGGTGAAACAGCTGTAGCTATGGAGCTCTGGTTAGCTGAGTGCATCCCAGCCACATGGCTGTTCTGGAAGGTGGGTGAAGCAGCTGCGGAGGGGCTGTGGGGCCACCAACTGGCCGTTTCTTTGGGTACAGGTGTCTGGGTGGGTGACCGTGAAGCTGGGCTCCCATACAGTACAGGTGAAGCTGGCTTCAGAGAGGACTGATCAGGTCTGGGGCTGAGGGAAGTGGGGGTGAAAGGGGACAATGGTGACCGCGGTGAGTGAAGCGGGCGCCCTGGACTTTGGGGTCCAGGGGAGATGGGAGACAGAGGCCTCGGTGAGTAATCATCTGAGGAGTATCTGGTGCGAGGCATCTTGTTGACCTGGACATAACTGGCCGGGAAGATGCCACTCCGGCTGGTCCCAGAGATCTTCCCCTCCAACCACTTATCATCAACACGCCTGGTTACACTGATCACCTCACCCTGAAGTAAAACAACAAAATAGAAGACAAAGTAGAGTTTTACACAGAAAAATTATAAAACCTACAAGGCGAACTAAACACTAAAGTCTGTTTCAACTAATACACAACTAAGTAATTATTATGACAGTAATGGCAGCAGGAGCATCATCCAGACCTTTGAAAATGTAGTGTTAATGTTTTTTAAGCTGCATTAAGGAGCTTTTCCCTTTGGTTGTGTGAAGTGGAACTTGCAAAAAGAATTTGACAGGGTGAAGGACTTCATTAGTCAGATTCCATGTAAATGTTTCCCTGGTGTAAATTCATCAGCACAGAGGAGCTGCCAGAAAAGCGCTTAACTGTCTCTAGGTGCTGTTTAGTTTTGATAACTCTTTTTAAAAGAATGGTTTGACATTTGGGAAAGATGCTTATCTGCTTTCTTGTCCAGAGTTAGATACAACATTCATGTCTGATTGGTAAATATGATGCTACAGCTAGCAGCCAGTTAGCTTAGCTTAGCATAAAGTCTGGAAACAGTCATCTCCTGGAATCATGTCATTGCCACAAGGTTGCCAGTGATGAAGCAATCAAGAAATCACATAATTTGCAAGCTTTAGAGCTACAGATAGGCTAATGTAATTGCCCCCGGACACAGCCAGACATTATGCATACGATTCTAGGCCCAAACATGACACACACAGAACACATGACAACCCAACAATCTCAAAAGAAAAGTTGACCATTTTAGGAAATGCATTTAGTTATTTTGTTACTGAGCGGTGGATGAGAAGAATGATGCTATTTTCACAGCAGAAGGGAAAAGATGAAGCCAGAACCAGCAGCTGGTAAGCTTTGCTTAACATGAAGACTAGAAATGGGGGAGACAACTAGCCAAAATCTGCTTATTAGCAACTCCAAAGCCCACCAATTAACAAATTGTGTCTAATTTGGGCACCCTCTATCCATTGTTTATATCATGTATCCTGTGAAAGGTCAACAAGGGGCTGGAGCTGATCTCTGACATTAGCTAGAGGTGGAGTACACCCTGGACAGGTACCCAATCTATCATAGGGCTGATAGAGACAGACAACCACATACACACACACCTACTGGGCAATTTAAAGTTACCAGTTTACCTAACCGGCATGTCTTTGGACTTTGCAGACATGCAGGTTCAACACAGAAACGTCTTGCTGTGGGGCAACAGTGATAACCACCGCACCATCATGCCAACCGCCTACTGTGTACAAACTTTTACAACAAATTTACATGTTCCAGTACAAAAATCCACATGGAAAGCATCTCAAATCTTTAGCTAATGTCTTTTGCTTACACAAACATCTTTCTTTATGCAGCAATAGATACTGCAACACATTATATACTGAAACCTGAACCATATTAATACTCACTTTACGAAATGAAAGTTCCACAGGTAGGTCAGCATTGAAGTTATACAGAGCCACAGCTTCTCCATAGTCTAGTACCTGCAGAGTGGGAGGCTTTATAGGTGTGGGTCTCTCTGTAGGAGGCAGAACCTATGAGGGACAGAGAAAGCTGTTTTTAGCCAGTATCACGTGGTCTTAGATAATAAGCACTTTACAGAGAAGTAGCGTCGGATGAGAGACATGAAGAAAATCACCTCCACATAAGACGTGGGGAAAATGCCAGCTCTTCCATGATGTTCTCCTTCAAACCAATTGGCATCTACCTGCCTGTGGATGTAAACAATGTCTCCTCTCTGCAGTGTGAGCTCTCTGAAGAATGGAACAAGGATATTGAGATGCACAAGAGCTAAATTTAGATTACAGAACTTACAGTAGTGTTTCTTTCAGAAATGTAGATGCATGCACAAAATGTCATATTCGATATATCAGTTCACACTATTACTCACTTGGGTGACTGAGCCTGAAAATTGAACTTAGCTCGTGCTGCTTTCATCTGGAAAAACAAACAAATCCTTAAGTATTTTGGGAGTTGTTGTACAGATGCAGTTTTCATGTGAACAATTCAGTTTATTTATATCCCCATAACAAAATGCCAGAATTTAAAACTACATCACAAAAAGGATTTCTGAAACATTTTCCAGCCAGTCAGTAACAAGAAAGCCATAGAAACATACCCTTTTCTCCTCTTTCTTAGGTGGGAGCTCCATGTTTTCATTTGCAGGAGAAAGACGTTCTACTGTGGGACAAAGTAAAGGCATGGCAGTTTGTGTGTGGAGTCTAAAACATGCACATTTGTTCAGCAAATGTTTTCTCTTTCTCTTTCGATATGAAAGCAATCACAGCCTTAACAGCTGCAGTGCATAAGTTCAAAAAGGCTTTTTTAGGCTCCAAAAACAATTGGATAAATCTAATCTCTATTCAGGTCTTCCAAGTTCCACTTCCTATTGTTGTGGGCTTCCTCCCCACCCATTCATTTAACCTTCTGTTTCTATAGGGAGGAAAAGCTGCAAAATCTTTTCATGCTCAAATCAGCATCATCTAAAATACCAAATACCAAAGCAGAAGACAACAGAAGTTAATGAGAGAGCGTAATGACACCATAAGAATATATTAGATTACTATTAGCTTTCATCAAATGTGCACATGTTTTGGTGGGTCACTGGGTTCAAGAAACCCAGAGAGACTATTGTTAGGAATATAAACGTCTAGGGCTCTTATTAAAATCATTATCGAAGCCATGGCAGAGATGGTGGGAAAACTCTGTATGTGTTGCAGAGCCAAAAGGGAAGGAAGTCCACATTTACCATATGTGGGTGCAGAGCTCAGTGATGCGCCAAGAGAGCGAAGGACAGGCTCCTTTGATGCTGATGAATTGCTGAAAAAGTGAAGAAAATATCAGCTTTTTTATGTTTACATTACTGCCACTGTGTCACCTAGCGGAGAGGTTTCAGAAGACGCCTCCTGTAAATTTACTGTACAGCACATCTGTTTGCAGATGCTGGTTTCCATACACTGGACAGAGATGAGACAAATAATCAGACAACTAAAAGGCTGTGCAGATGATACTGTGTGACACATGTTGTCCTTGAACTGAAAGCCTGGTTTAGCTGAAGTTTGTAGCTGAAATGATCTTTAAGCTTTAAAAGATCCTTGAGAATCCTCCAGGAATGCATGACAGGCATGGAGAGAAATGTGTAATGTTGTTTGCTGTTTGAAGTAATAAATACTGTACTTGAACTTGTTAAAATTAACCAGCTTCCTAACAGAGTTTCACCTGATCAGCTTACAGGTATCCTGCTCTATCCAGTCACAGTGCTCTTAAACCGACGTGCACTTACTCCTGCTTGATGAAGCAATATTAAAGTGGATTAAGAGGCGGGGCACTGTGCTCGGAGGAGGTCTGTTATGTGGTGACTGACTCTGACCTTTGTAATAACCTGCTCTGCATGTGGCTCTTTATTACAACACAGTGAGAGCTTCTGTACTGGACTCATATTCCGGTATGTTCAAACAGATGATTCTGATTCTGATAATACAATACACTCAATGGAAATACAGTAAAATCACTCCTCAACATATCCATCAACAATGTCGTTACCATTTTGCTATCAGTACAATACAACCTTTAGTTTCAGTGTTTCTGTTAACTAAGAGTAACATGAACAAAAACAAAATCACCACAGTTAAAAACACAGAGACACACAGTGTACCACAGTCAGTCCTAAAAGTCCTGAATCTACTTTATACTTTACTTAATTTCAGTAAAATAACTGACTACTGTCATAGTGTAGGTTTGAATTACATTATAATGCAAAACACAGTCTTTTTGGGGAAATGTATTGTAGAAAAAGGAATCTCAAGTGATAATGGTGTGGTTAAAAGGTCAGTAAATATGTCATTATAACCTGCTGAAGATCATCTGGACTAATAATATTTCTTATTGCTTTCCAAAGTTTTGTTGCCACTAACCTGGAGTTTGTAGTGACAGTCCTTGAAGGAGTTAGTGGATCCCTGCCTCGGGCCTCCTACAAGTAGAGGGAACATTAACACAGTTCCCTGCAGTGCCCCTCAGCCTTCTGTATCTCACAGCTAGGAGGAAATCTCACAACAACTCAGACAAAGTAGAGGTGCTGACCACTCCCGAAGGAGTAAGAAATCCCCTGGGTCCTATCCTCCTCGGGTTACAAACAACACTCACAATCTGTCTGAGCTGTCTGTGATTTCAGTCAAATCACAGGCTATGAAGCAGATTGAATCACAAAAGACTCAGGAATAACGTAAGAATCAACAACATTTTAGGCAGGATTACATCTAAGTTGTTCTCTAAAACAAGCACTGTGGGATTGCAAGGGAAGTCCTAAGCAACAATATCAAAGAGATATGATTCAAAGAAAACTGATTGTAGATGTTCTTCAGTTTTTGGCAGCCAGATCTACATTTGCTGAGGGAGGAGGGAGAACTTGCAGGCAGGTGATTAACATAGCAGATCAGTATGAGTGCAAAACAGGCAGGTGATTCCACAGCCGTCCCGGGTCATTAAAGGGGGGAAAGAAAAACATGTGGTCAGAGCCAGCAAGCAGAGGGATCTCACATCTCTGAGTGGGGGGGAGGGGGGGAGGGGGTGCAGAGGGGTGAGGATTCTGCTAGATTGGGTGGAAGGAGGGATGCTTCAGCAGAGAGAGTCAGGAGGGGGCTCAGTACCTCACCCTGGCCTCGGCGCTGCTTCTTCTGGGAAAGTTTCCTTTCTAGGCCCTGGATCTCCGAGTCCAGCTCAGCCTCAAATCGATTCAGCTCAGAGACCAGACTGGCCTGAGCCCAAACAACGATGGAGTTCGAGGGGCAAAATCAAAACACCAATACAGAATCTGTTTTGTTTTTTTTATGTCCTTTTTCAATGGTTCGAAAAATGTTATTTTCCTAGCGAGAATTGACAGAATGGCAGAAATCAAAGTTGTGCTAAAGGTGCTCACCTCAACTGAAGGGGACTTTGGTTTCTCGGGCTGTTTCTTCGGGGATAGATGAGCCTAAGGACAGTAAAACAATGAACAGAAGTTGCTTTTTCCATAAAACCACTACTAATCTAACTTTGTACATGAACACCTGCCACCCAAATGGGAAATGCCTTAATGACAACCACTACTAGATATTGGTCATTATTTAATCTTGTAGCGCCGGATATGCAGAGGAATCCTCTGTCAAAATTTACTTTTAATTGTAGTTTATACTGTGGGAGACAACAGGAGCCTACAGCAACATTTTTTTCCTCGTCCTCATTATCTGTTTAATCCAGGCCATGACTTTATTCACACTGTGCAAAGTTAAATTCTTAAATATTTTCAGTGTCTTACATTTATAAGGTAAAATAACTGAACAGAGTTGTCAGTATCAATAATCAGTACATTAATTCCACCTTCTCAAACCACATTTGGACACAGGCTGGACATCTAGGTGCCTGCAGAAGTAGGAAGCACCCATATATTTCATTCCTCCATATTTTGGTCAATTTGACTTAACAAGCAAGACAATACAGCTTTCACACTCTTTAAAAAGACACCAAAACGAGCAGCTGATTCTATCAAGCATTGCTTTAAGAGGCTCATCTGGGGCAGAATCACTGACCCCCTGCTCCATTTTCAGGTTTTTTGTTTTTGTAAAATCTTGGCTGAATGTGTGTCTTTGAGTGCCAAGAGATTCCCCTCAGTTATGTTCACAGACTAAAATGTCACTGTGAAGCAGAACAACACCTGATATGGTCTGTGCACTGGTTTTCTAAATGCTGGGGATGGAACACTGGTCGCTGTCATAAAAAGTAAATGAAATAAGTTTCAGTGCTGTGAGCCATTATATACCATAAGAGGTTAACACCATAATATGAATCACAAAACACCTCAGCTCCCATGGGGGAGTGGAAACCGATTCCTGTTTTTCACAAATGCAGACACAAGGCACAATATGCACCAGACCTGGGACATTGTTGCAAGAGCCATTAACAAAACTAGGGACACACTTGTAACTCACAAGGGGTGTTAATACACAAACACACATACAAAGAGCTGCCACTCAATTACAACAGCTCCTGGGTGATGCAAAACAGTAAATTACTATCTCAATTGTATATAATGTAAGTAAAGTATGAGTCAGTTTCAACAGCTTGTAAATCCGTCTTTCAGCACAATACCCTGTAGAAATACCAATAAAAATACTTAGATCATGTCTTTTCTTGTCTGAAAAGCTACATGAACTAACAGTGGCAGCCTACTGGATCCTCTGAATAAAAGGAATGATCAGATTTGTTGGTAAGCCGCAGGTACACTACACAATGACCATGTTAGTTATTAGATAGCTCACGTGAGAAGATGAAATACAAGGACTTAGACTGTAATCCTTAAAGAATAGATGCCCAGCCTTAAACCTGTGCTTGAGCTCCACACCGGGAAAACTGCACAAAGAATTCCTGTGATTAGAACCAACAACAGTGCTGGATAGATCTATAGGCTAAAGAACCTAAAGCAGAAACATGTTTTTCTGCAGTCTGGGTGATATCACAGCATGTTTCAAAGCCACACTGCACCTGAGGTCATACCTGGCTTTGGCTTTCTACGACGGTGCTCTTTCCAGGCTCAAAGTCGAATATGCTCCTTGGCTGAGGGTGCTGCTTTCCCGGGTCTGAGAGCTTATCTACATCCTCGCTCCTGAAACATAACACCCCAACACACACACACACACACATCATGGACAGCAACTTTATCATGGCTTCATTGTGAGTGCCTCTAACAACAAATCCAAACTTGTCTGTCCCACTCCGTTACCCACCACTGCTCTTGGCCTCAGATTTGGTTGGTATTCACATAAGACATCACCTGCAGCGTTTATCTGATGCATACAGTCTCTGATCTTATGAGATTAAATCGGTGTGTAAGCTGTTCTAGTACTAGTAGTCAAAGGAAATTAAAAATCAACATACATAAACATACAGTAAGTATAACTGTAAAAGCTCCTCTAAAGTATTGTATTTCAGTAGCTAATTTTGTACATGAAATTATTTCTTTTTTCTTTTTTTTTGTAGTGCACTGAAAGGAAACCTCTGTATTCTATCACACTTAATGCAGCTTTCTGGTCTAATCTTGTGTGTGATATATTTTTTCTGTGCCTTTAGTTAAACTCTTTATGTAAGGCTTGTTTAATCACCAGTCATAACCTAAAGCAAAAGCACAGAGTAGTAGTTTGTCATTTTCGGAAACAAACGTACTGGCTTTGATGCTGAGAGTTGGATGAGAAAATTAAAACATTTTCCTCCCGTGTCCATTATGCTACTGCTATCACTTAGCATAAAGCCTGGAAACTAAAATACAGGCGTCTTGTCATCACCACAAGGCTGCTGAGAATAAAAGATCAAGATATTATACTGGGCACTAATGTATATTAGTGAACATTAGAGATGCAGGTAGTCAGATTTTATTGTTGGACTAAGCCAGGCTAGCTGTCTCCCTTAACTGTGCTAAACTGAGCTAATCTATTGCTGACCTTAGCTACAGTTCATTAGACTAGAGAAGCCAGAGTATCAGTCTTCTCATCTATCTCCCAGCAATAAAGTAAGTAAGGTTATTTTCCAAAATGTCAGACTATTCCTTTATTTTAGATTCACGCCTAAAAATCTTCCTATGCATGTTCACACTACAGGCACCCAGGTTACAGTTTCTTACCTAAGTGAGTGAGTCAAGCATATATTTATTTGTCCACAGGTAAACTGAATAAGTGTCAGTGTGTCTGTATGTGCCATGTGCTGGACTGGCAGATTGCCTGTCTTTGTTCCATATGTTAATCCACCACATGACCCTGAAGTCTTTCCATCGGATAAGTGTAAACTCACCAGTCTGGTAGAGCTCCATAAGGTGTTAGTCTGAAGAGATCCTTGTCTGCCTCCTTACTTTGTTCTGTGCTGGCAGGTAGCTGGAGCCCTGCAGGCCAGTGGATCAGTGCAGATTACTCTTAAGTATGAACTGATTATGTAACTATTAACAGGACAACAATATGTACTTTGATGGATTCACTTACATTCAGCTGACCACTGCTCTGAAGCGTCTAGCTCCATTTCTGTATCGACACCAGATACATTTTTTAGGACTTAGAACATTGGAGTATTTTAATACTATAGAGAAATCAATCAAAATGGTGTAAATATATATTTATTTTTTATACTGTAATACTGTCTTATAATATGGTTGCATTTGTCTCATGGTGAGAATTACTCACTTTTTTAACAATGTAATAACTCCACAGTGTAAAAGTAACAAGTACATTTCAGGAAAAATACATTAGTATTTCTGGACACATGTACTTAAACTATGAGAAGTAAAAATCATATGTTTTGTACATGAACAAAGTAACTAGCAATTAGTACCCTAGTCAAATAAAAGTAGTGGGACAAAGGTTTCTCTGAAATTTGTATTAATCCTGTCTTTGCACCACAAGAAGACAAGTCACTTGAAGGGCATTGAAAATATTCAGCTGATCTAGTGTAATCCATTAAAACCACGTCAGTGCTGCGGTGGTGCCGTTACCCACACAAATAACAGGGGATGTGTTCCTCTTACGAAACACATAATACAGACAGATGAATAACGAGATCTGGGAGGGGCTGAGATAAGAAGCCGGATTATTGTCAGAGCTATTAGGCAGAAAGGAAACGAGTTTAGGGCTGCTGTCAGGAGGTCTGCTCACACTTCTGGGCAGTTTCCATGTCTTTGCACCAGTAACTTGGTCCCCAAGTACAACGATTCTTCCCCAGAGGCTCCAAAAATACAAAATCTAATTTTGTATTTTCTGGATCGGCTGCACAGTACCTGACACTGACAGAGGAATTCACTCTGGAGTTGAACATGAGAAAGAAGAAGGAGGACCATCCTTACCCTCTGGCTTTTTGTGAATCTGCCTGAACATGCTCTTGTACCAATCTCTAGGCTTGTTCACACTCTGGTATGGGTGGGGGTGGTGGGGGGGTTGCAAACACAAAGTAAACAAACCCGGTAAGGCTTTACAAATGTAACACATAACAAGAATGTTATTTTAAAAATAGCATACAAAGCATTTTAAACGTTTTTGTTTTATAATGTAGCAGTGCTTTCTTAGTCTTACTGATCTGGAGGCAATGGGCATCCCAGTTTCATCCACTGGGCCGATTCCTGAGTACTTAATAAGCCTCTCCTCCCTGGTGGGAGTCCAGCTGCGTGGTAAAGTGGAAGATCCCTGGACGCCGTTGGACAGTCCTCCTGAATTACAGTCCCAACAATATGATTTTAGCAATTATGATGTACCACTTCAAATGATTTCAGGTGTCAGATAAAAGCAGATTAATGGAAGTTTGCAGTCATTAATCTGCTTTTACACCCAATCACATGGAACCTGGAGAAATCTGACCTGTTGTGAACCATTTACAGTACATCCACCTCAGCGGGCACTCCCAGCTCACTTTATCACACACACTTCCGTTTTTCTTAGCACTTTAACTTCAACCCTTACTGCAAGTTCTTAGCCCTCATGCTTATATTTAAACTGATTACATCTTGTTAACTTATTTTTAAGTCGTACAGCAAAGCACAACAGAAAAATCTTACCATGTGACTGCGAGGGGCCATAATATGCTCCGAAGGTGAGAGTTGTTGCACTGCTTCCATTAATGTCTGACACCTTGAGAAGGACAGCACCATATAAATCAGTCCAAATTCATGCATGTCAGTGTAATGGAACTAACAGCTGTAGTAGTGATGCTTTCAAAATATGTACATAGCTAGATGTATAGCCTGTGATGCTTCATTCTTCCACAGGGAGGAGCACTTGTTTACTGAATTCTATGCATTTGACCTCAACATTTTTATTAACATAGCCTCTAGAACATTTATGTGCATACCTTGAAGTCTCTAGATGGCAGCCTTGCTGAGCGAAAAGGGCTCAGAGGCGGGGTAGGGAGTCCAGGGGAGATGATCACCTCATGGGTCATCTGTGGAGAAGTTAGTATCTGTTGACCTGAAGAAACCCCGGGCTCGCTGGAGAAGATAATCTGGGAGCCATCTGGATCACCAACCACTTCCACAAATTGCTAAAGACAGAGGAAATGAACAATAGGGATGAACAAAAACAATGTGTGAACTTTGTTCCTGTCATGTCCTCCTGTTGGCCCTGAGTAAACACCACCCTCTGAGGGAGGGCATGTGAACTTGTTAGCGGCCCCTCTGTTCTCTAAAGAATAACCGGGCTCTGTGGGGGACCCTTTAATGAAAAGGCTTCTAATTTATTTAAAGCAGGACCAGTAGTGTTTTGCCCACTTCATCATCTCTCATGCTTCAGCTGCAGAAAGGCCTCATTCAAGGCTCAGAGTGGGGCCACAGAAACAGTAAAGGAGTATTAAAAGCCCATTAACTCCCTATTCACCAGGCCTCCCTATTCTTCAGCCAGCAGGGCTGGGAAGGAGTCACTGATGTCGAGTCCATCAGGGTGAGCAGTGATCTGGTGGTTTTTTATCCCCTACAGCCCATGATGGCCAGTAGAGCTTTGCTAGTAGAATACTATAGATTTGACTCAGGTGCTCTGGTCCTCTGTGTGTGTGGCTACCAGAGTTCTTTGGAAAGTGTTTATGCCTCATAGGAACTCTTATCTGTACCAAAGGCATGTTGTTGTGACAATGGGCTGGGCTAACGTGGATTATGCAAGAGTGCAGGTGTTATTTGTTGAACAGCACAGATAAAAACAGCTTTACCTGAGAATGCATGTGGTCGATTATGGTCTTTGTATGACGTATATCAAATTCCTGTGGCCAGCATCAAAGGTATCTGCAAAAAAAATACAAAATACAAAACTTTTCATACAAAATTATACTAGTTTACTTTTTATTGAAACGTTTTACAGAGAAGATGCCATATTTCTATCAAGAATATCAGTCATGCTATTTTTCTTTTTACAACGGAAAACTGAACAGCACATTCAAGACAGAGCATCATCATACCAAGATGATAATGTCTTATTGGTGTTTCAGTTTTTGTGATTCAGCTCACTACTAGAACAAACTACTATGTGAAAGACTTCAAATCCATTCGTCTTATGTTTAATCAAATGTGCAGTCAGATAGAAAAAGACTTTCTCATTGTCGAAATGTCACCAACTGTCATCAAAAGCATTAAAGCCCCTGAAAATGTTGTTGTAACTTAGGTTTTTCTACATAATGGTAAGGACTAAAAATGCAACAAAGTTAAAGTTTGAAAAATAATGAATAAATGATTTAAACATGATTTGAACACATAGAATCTGCTTCAGCAACAGCAACAAGTCATCACCTTTTGATTCAAATGATGATCTTTTTTCAACAGAGCCTCAAAAAGAACTTCAAACCGAGGAGTAGAACACTGATATGAAAGCAAATAGAGAAATCATTCATGTGAAATAACCAGTACTGTTCTGTACTGCTCAAACTACAAGCTAAAGAAAAAATTTGCTTTTTTCATGCCTTGTCTTTATTAATTGGAGAGATTCAGTCAATGTCTGTGAAAATAATCACAAGATCCAAAAACGGTATCGTTGAAGTTTTTACTCTGAATCTTGCAACATGTGCTATTTAACTGTTTGAGTTGTGTGGGATGCTACAAAACCTCACTGTCATAAATCACATTTTACATCCAGGCAGACTCAACAGCTGTTCCTATTATCCTGCTGGTATTCCAACAAGGGAAAATTAGCGTTGCCAGCTTTTCCCTTTTACCAAGGAAAAACCAACCCAAAACAACGAGTGTGACTCACATCGCTCTCCCCAGTCAAACAATGCTGGATGCTGGAGAAGGTCGGCCACTGAAAGTGGAAACCGGCTCGTGATCAATTGAAAGTCAGAAAAACAGACTCCTGTTTCAAAGTTCAAAGACATGGGGAGAATAGAATGGGGGGGGGCATTTCCACTCCTGCCTGAGGCACCTCTCATTTACAGTGGCTAAATGGCTCATAATAACAGTGCAGGCATAAAAACTATCGCCACCACACGGTTTTGCATCCCTGTAACCACAGCCTCTGCAGAAAGAAGTTGTTAGGTGATTCTTTATACACTCAGACTTTGGTCTTTTCTTAAGGAAAAAAAAAATTCTGAGATAGTGACTGTTAAAGAAAATAGAGTTATTATAGAGATAAGGCTATGTTTCTGTTCTCATATAAACTGTGGCTTTGTACCTTGGCAAGAAAGTAACGACCCCACGTGAGCTGGGCTACTACAGGCTGCCAACACAGTTTGCACTGATGACTTTTCCATGTGATATTTGCAGCTGAGTATTAGCCTCCATAATCACTGTGGTCAAGACCAAGAACACTATATGCACTCACTTACTCCAGGTTAGCACAGAGCCCACGCAGCGATAGACTCAATGTTCCAGTTTCCAGAGAATGCCGTCACTCTATCTGAGTCATCATCTGCCAATAAACTGTTACATAACAGTAAAATATGGGAATCAGAGGATTATGTCTATGGCAATAGCATTACTGCTCAGGCTTGACTGATGACCTCTCACCACATAAAAGAATCACACACAGGTGATTATCTGCCCAACAATAGGTAACACTGCAAACAAGGCTTTAAAAATAATGGTTTAAGGCAGTGCCATTTACAATGTGTTTAACATGCTGATCTGTATTTACAACAGATCTCTCCTAAGCAAGCTGCTAGACCTGCTGTGATGAACAAATAACTGGTGTTTTATGCAAATATTGTTTCCAAAAGGCGTGTTTGATAAAGAACTCTAGAAATGCAAACAAAGGAGCTCCCTTTTCAGTTCTATGCTGCTGCCGTTCATGAATCAACAGCAGCTACTGCAGTCCAGAATAGGTGCCCTGTATTTTTTTTTATATGCATCTCATAATAGCGGCGCTCCACCAATTTTTTTACTTATAATGTTTCACAAGAAATCAAATCAGACTTTTAGTTTCAAGCTCCAAATGTACTGGCTCTTATATTTCCTATATCTCAAACACTGTAGGCCGTCCCTGCTTGCCCATTGTCTGCCAAGTTTCATACCTACAGTTGTAAAACAGGCTTTCTTTTAAAAATTCACAATTAAGCCCAAATTGTTAAACCTGAAGGCAAGGGTGATATTGGTGGAATTCCCCCTTAAAACACACAGCAATATGATATAATATAATTTCCCTAAAGAGAGACATGCAGTGAAAGTAACACAATTGAAATATAGCTGAAACCCTTCATTATTAAGTGTTGTTCCTATAAATAAGCAATATCCGTCTAATTTGACTTTTTATTAATAAAATTATGCATCACTTTTTGTTTTTGCTGTATAATTTGAAACTGTTGACACAGGAAGTTCCTCCACTTAGAAGCCTAAGAGCTAAATTCCCCCTGCCTAATCAACGTAACATCCTGATGAGTAGGCCCATGTCATAACAGTGTATCTCTGGGGAGTAAAATCAAACAGAGAAATATTCAAGCACCGCACACATTCCCCTGTTCGAGAGCACCAAACGCAATCCTACCTAATAAGGAAAAAAATCAGTGTCGATATCTACAGTAGCAAGAAAACCCCTGTCCAGAAGTTTGGCCCTCTCTGGGTTTGTACTGAACAGCCAGCACATTTTATGCAATTACTGAGACTCAACAGCAGAGGCTTTCAGATTGACATCAGGGTTTTAAAATTGGTGGTTTGTGATACCATCTTCCTGAAATATGTGGATGTTAAAGTCCACGTATTTACAAGGTAAACTGCTGCTAGGTCAGAGGTTCATCCTCATCCCCAGATGGAAGAAAAAAGAGCCATAAGAGGCCAGTGTGGATCCCAGACCAAGGTGAGGTGAAGCCTTGCTTTAAAAATGTTTTCACAAGACAAGGGTCTTATTTTTCCACTTTTCTGGAAATGCATTGCTTCTTATGTAGCATTCTACTCTTGATTTACATATACTCCAGCAAAGGGTAACTGAGGATATTCAAAATGAGAATCAAGGGATTTTTGGTACGGAACTCTCTGCCTCCATCCCCGCGGAAACTCATCCGGTCTCTTGGAGCAGTGGGCCAGATGTTAAAACCTCTGTAAAGTCACAAACACACGTCTAAACAGCTCACTCAGCTTTTTAAAAACAGTTGTGCTGAGACACTCTTAAAAAGCCAGTTACCTTAGTGGATATAAGGAGATTTTCTTCTTCTCCTTTTTATGTAAAGGGGTCAAATGAGGAACCAAACTATTATCTGAAGTTGCTGAGCCAGAGCAGACTTACTCAGCAGCTTCAAGGTCAGTGAACTTCACCCCACCCCTGTGACTCCTGTGAATCACAACAGGAGGTTTCCGCAGTTGGAACTAGTAACACAGTAGTAACACTATTAGTCAGCCTTACAAATGTGTGAAAAGACAAAATCAAACCATATGCTGACATTCAGTACTACAGCAAGGTCAGCTTATATAAGTCAGTTTGCTATGAGGTCAGTATTTTCCAGCATCATTAAATGTCCCTTTTGCACAGAACAATGTCGCCAGGTCTTCCAGAGAAGACTGACGTACGACCTCCTGCTCCACCACAATGCAGAGCCTCTTGCATTGTTCACACTAAGAACAAGGCTGTCCAGGTGACCGCACATACCCTGCTAAAGAACCATCACAGTGCTGACCCATGAACTTCTGCGATTTGTTGGTGCACCATCAGGAAACTAATGGTTTGTGGTCAGCAGGAGAATTGTGTTGTCCATAAATCATCTATACAAGCAAGTGACGGTGGAGAATGTGTTGGCAATGAACAGAGACAATGGGTTTAAATAAGACACATCAAATAAATCATTGGTGAAATGATCTCCATTCATTAGCACAAGTGCTGTTGTTGTTAATCATTCACTCGATAAGGTGGGAACTGCTGCACGGAGTCCGATAAACAGATCGAAGTTACATAAAAGAAGGAAACCAAGCAAAATATGAGCTCAGGATTTCTTAATGTGCTTATTTTGTTTGGCTGAGCACTTTGCTGCATTACATTTGATGGACTGTACACACTTCAAAATCTTTAAACAGATTCTGATCGTCTAACAATATGTTCATGTCCTGGGTATTCACAGAAAACAATGTGACAGACAGAAGGGTGAAGTCTTATCACCAACTTGCACATACACATTGTCAGTGCTGCCCAACAAGTTACATAACAGTGCTGTAAAGCTGAAGAAAGTCTGTCCTAACAAGTGAGAAGACAATTACAAGCACATTTGGTGAACTAATAAAATGGGTATCTATTCTTAAATGCACCAAATGAGTCACTCTGTAGTTATGTTAGAGATCCTGTGTGGCTGATCGCACGACTGCCCGTCTGCAACTTAGCAGATGTGTGGATGCAGCCCATACAAGGCCCTGGAGCCACAAGTTTATGATATGCAGTTATTGGGGGATACACACATTTATCAGGAGGGAAGTATTTCACCTCCTTGTATGGTGCTCCTCCATTCTGAGCAACAGGAGGAGTCAGTCTGTGTGCTTCTTGTCAATGGAGGGGCGATACGTTCCCAGGAGGAGAGTGTGAGCCAATGAATCACAGCCTCTCTCTTCAAGAAGAGCCTGAGCTGAAGTATTGTGCAGGTTTATCAGCTCTGCTTTTACAACAAACAGACATCATATCGTTCAAGATAAATTCTGTCTGAGTGCTTGTGTGAAAGTAAAACCTGTCAGACAAAGCATGAGAAAATACACATGTGAAACACAGTCACTAGAGAAAAATGTCACAAATCCTCATGACTGTCATTTTACATCTCCAAAGCTAGGTGTGGCCTGTGGATAGGAGCACTGGTAGCTAGAGCCCTCGGTAATGTCACAAAGGGAATCAGAGTCAGCTGTAGAAATTGCCCTGACAGTAGGGGGAGCCTTTAGTGACTCCTGGACAGTCCTGTGGTCATTAGGTGGGATATGTGAAAGTGTTCTCACAGAAAATCTCTTCCTCTGAATATCTGGAGCTTTTCTGACACTTGCCAGTGCACACATGCACAGTCTGAGCAGGGCAATGATGGATGACATGTTGGGAAACACCGCCCACTGCGCCCTGTCTGTTTCAGGATCAGAACTACACAGCTTGTTTTCAGGTATACTCCAAAAGCATCCCTCTTTTTAAGACTCTGTAGTCCTGGGTACATCTGCAGCACTAATCCTGTGGAGCGGCTTGTAAACCATGAGCAGTCAGACAGGTTACTCAACCTTAAAATACACACTTGCAAAACAGCCAACCAGACATATGTTTCTATATACACAATATTTACTGTAAGCTCACTCCCTGCTCCCACTGGGAAACAGTGTGCTCACCTCTTCCAAGCGGCACCTCAGCCCCTCTGTCAGCTGAGCACACATAAACCACGCTGCTGACCTTCCCCGGGTGAAAATCTCTCTCTCTCTCCCTTTATCTCTGTCTCTCTCTCGCTCACTCTCAACTCTGGCTCTGCCTGCCTTCACAGAGGACTTCCCGTTTGACAGGCATCACCATAGTAACCCCCCCCCACACCCTGCTCTTGGCTTGTCAGTTCAGGGCACCTCCTTCAGTGAAGCAGCCCCATTGTTGCGATAAGGTGATATTTCACAGCGCAGGGTTAACCAAAGGGGAACGCAAATAGTTCATCACCTCCACCTCCCAGACACTGCCCAGCGACTCCATGACACTCCCTCCCAACTTTATCTCCCCTATGCCTCCCTCTCCTTTTGTGAGTGGGTGTTTATGTGAAAAGGCCGAGTTTCTGGCTGGACAAGGGCATGAAGGGAGAACAGGAGCTCTTTCTGTTCCTGTTGTTCTGGAAGTATTTCAGAGTCATTACTCTACAACATACAGTCAAACTCCAACAGCACAAGTCCTGCTAACTTTTCTCCCATGAGCACACACACACACACACACACACACACACACACACACCAGCAATACTGTTGGATGGCAAGGTTGTCAAGGAAATAACCACAGACCGAAAGCTGTTATATCAGTGTCAGCGGCACATTATTCAAAGTAAGAGATGTGGTAGTGCAAAGATAAGTCAAATTCCAGTGGGATGGCTGGTCCGCCACACAGCAAACAATATCAAAGAACTTTCTGAAATCCCACAGTTGCTCTTGCAAAAAATATTTGCACAAATAAAACCCGGATTTCCAGTTTGTCCAGCAATTCTTGTTAGTGAAGACAAACAGTGCCAAACCTGAAATCTAGCAGGATGACAGGCTGGTTTTGGCAGCACTTCAGGTAGTTTGAGTTACAAGGTCCACACTGCAGGTAAGTGATCTAGTCACCTGCAACAAATGTGATCAGCTCTGTAACTCATACAGTGCGCATTCGGGTTCTCCCAGTAAACTAAAGACAGGACAGTGAATAACTTTTAACACAGTCAAGTGTTGTATTCATTTGTTTAAAGGGGCATGTGTCTGTGTGTGTATGTGTGCTGGCCACTTCCAACTTCTAACTGAGAGACTCAGCTCTGTTTAATAATTCAGTGGTCTGGCTTGGCAGGGCAGGGTAGATATTCATTTACACTGCCTGCACTCTTCACATGGTTGTTTTTGTCAAATGCTTGAGCTGCTAAACCAGAGGGGACTCACGTGGAGACTCCTCGCACAATCTGTGTCTTGCAGACTTTCACCCCGCCATGACCACGCCAGACACCCTGTCACTCTGCAGTTAAATGAGATAATCACGCAAGAGATTATTACAGCTTTGGCCCAGGACTTGACACCTTTCCCACACTGCATGCTTCACTTTGTCTCAAACAAACAAAAGGCTTCACCTTTTCCAACTCTGCTTTTTGTTACAGAGAAACATTGTGAAGACATTAGGGAAGAGACATGGTGTTGTACCTCAGTCCTCCTGAGATGGATGGATTCGGGCAGATCTTTACAACACTGTAAAGGCCAACCATTGTTCGTTTGTATTTGCCCGTATGTGGCTAGTGAAGCTAATTAAAAGCCTGACAGCCAAAGATTCAATTAGCTGAATAAACCATGACATAAATCACTCGGTGGCTATAACACCGCAGCTTCTCTCTACACTGAGGAAACAAGAGGCAGAAAATCTGTAGAACTCCCAGATACAGTTATCTAGCTGGAGAGACATGAGCCAAGAAGTAAACAAGCATCACCATAACAGTGGAGGACTGATAAGGAGCTCTGAACATTACACAGCACTGTGTCATTTGTACCAAAGGATGCTCTGAGGCAGCACTTGTGGAATGTCTCTAAGAACAAACCCAAGAACATCAGCATTTATTTTAATGGTAAACAGCATTTTTCTGAGCTGTGCACATCTGAGGACAAACAATAAATCCTCGTGGGACTTGTTGCTCTTAGGATGCATACTGTATCTGGAGAAGTCTGACTACATTTCTAACCAAGAAATATTCACACACCAAGATGCTTCAGACCAAAACAACAACCACAAACAGTAAAACATTGGCCTCCACTGCAGTAGGATCCTCCTCATATCTGCCATTTCCCATAAAACCTCTCAACTGCTGCTCACTAGTGTTCTGAGATGTAAAAACAAAAAGACAATGACAAAGTAAAGACACACAATACTATTGTGTTTGTCACAGCAACAACATGATGTTCAAATCTGTGTCAGTTTTCCATCAAGTAAAAATGCAACTCAAAACCACTTAATCAAAATCATTAAGTCAATCACATAAGGCTGGAAAATCAGAGTTTTTGTGAATATTTACTTCACTGTGATACCAACCGTTGTTATACAGTACTTACAGGCGAGCGCAGGCTGAGCAGTGAGGTCTCCTCAGAGCGGAGGGAGAGAGGAAGTGAGTGAGAAGGAGGGAGGGAACTGCTGCTGCTCTTCTCTCTCTCTCCCTCCCTCCCTTTCTCTCTTTCTCATTCTTTCTCAAGCCAACAGGGTGTCTTTTATCCTTGGTGAATGATTCAGTGTGGTTCTGGATGTTGGACCGAGCATACGTAGGCGTGCATATGTGTGTGTCTTATGTCTGCATGTGTATGTGTGTGAGCACACACTTTAAAGCTCATCAGGGAGAAAGCACGCAGTAATAGTTTCCATCCACAGCTGGAAATAATAGAAATTCCCATACAGACACAGTGGCACCGCCCTCCAGTGTTTTACATGCAAAGAAGGAGGAGACGATTTCCATAAATAGGCCTGAGTGGCACACATATTGTATTAACACAGTCTATTCATTGTATGAGGGCTTTAGATGGTGTGTGTGTCACAACATATCGGGCACAAAAGAGATTTGAGAGCTGATACAGATGACGCAGGTCAGGTGTCTTGCTCATCTGTTTTCGGTGGTGGAAAGTAACTAAGTACTGTACTTAAGTACAATTTTGAAGTATCTGTACTTTACTTTTCATTTCATTTTGTGTTCCTTCATACTTCACTATAAATATTGTACTTTTTACTCCACTATATTTATTTTATAACTTTAGTTACTAGTTACTTTTTAGAACCAAATTAATACAAAAAATTTACAGTATAATCAGAAGGCTTTATTGGTCACTGGTGGAAAATTCAATAGCTGCCCAAAGTTACTTCAAATTATACGCATATACTGTGAGATAAGTTAAAACTAGCTCCTCCTTTACCAGCTGCACCATCAACTTCAGTATACACAATAATGCATCAGTAGTTAATTATATTCCAACAATATAATATAAATTAATGGGAAATGTTCCATTATGCATAATGAGTATTTAGTACTTAATACTTTTAATATTAAGTATATTTTGATGCCATTTTGTTTTTAAATAATATTTTGAATGCAGGACTTTTGGTTGTAAAGAAATATTTTTACACTGTATTGTTAATTTTACTTAAGTAAGGGATGTGAGTATTTCTTCCACCACTGCCCATTTGGCTCAAGGGCCTTCTGAACATCTAGGAAAGAGTATTTCTCGGTGAATTTCTAACTAGAGCTGTGTGCACACATGACTTTATGAGAAAACCCCTGCAGCCAAAAGAGTTAGTGCTGATGTCATCATGGTGGAGCAGCTGTAAGTACAGTGGAAGTGTGAAGCCTTCTTTAGGTTCCTCAGAGGTGTCCCTCTCCCATGGTTTATCAGCAGATGTCTTCTCATTTCCTGCACTGTGAGTGCACAAGCTGCCCTGCCATCCAAGGTAAATATTTAACAGATTGGCTGTGAGATTAGAACCCAAAGGTCATATCTCTGGAGTCCATCTTCAAGTTTTCTTGTCCAGATGATCAGTAAACTGTTTACAGAGGAAGGAATGCATTTTCATTTCATGATACATGATTTACCTTTATTATATTTGAGAAACTAGTTGTAGTTACAGTGTTTTATATCAATGATGATAATAATAGTGTCTCTGTTGTTAATGAATGCATTTTTCCCCCAAAATTAGAAACTACTTCACATTTCACAACAAACCAGTGAGTAATAATGCATTTTGCCAAAAATATTCTCTTATTTCACTTGGACAGACTTTGTTTGGTACAGGACATGTACAGAATAAGTAGTACCACACTGCCTCTTAGTGGTTCTACAGGGAACTGGGTGGGGCCGGTATTTTTACAGATATTCACACACACATTGCTGGAATCAAGTACTAACCGCCATCAATTTATATAAATTGTTCTAAAGCAGAAAAGCCTATAAAACACTCAACCAAAAGGTGATTTCTTTCCAAGTTCAAACCGATAATAACTAATAATTAATCATCTTAATTGGCCCAGTAAATGAGGTTTATCATAGTGTTATACCCCAGTTCTTTTACTGGACAGATCTGAGTAAGAAAGGAGTCTGTCTTTCTTGATTTTTGTGCTGGTTTATTTAAAAAAATATATAAATAAAGATTCCAGAACACAATCCGGGTGGCTCCCTCCTTCAGACAAGCTGCTGGAGAAGAGAGAAGACGCTCCCGCAAAACAAAGAGCCTAATACATTTATAAGTTTTGGGCTAACCCCTTACACAGATGAAGTCCGTTCAGTAGACTCCATCTCTTATCTAGAGCTCCACAGGCTTGGAGCAGCTGCGTATTACCTAGTCATTACAAAATGAGGTAGCTCAATGTGTGTGGATGTTGTTACGTGGTGCGTAACTAAAACAATCATTCAGACAGAATCTTGCTAAACTGCATTACTAATACATTTGATTCAACACATTAATGTCTGTTAATAATTATCTGACTAATTTATTAATTTCTAACAATAGACACATTATTTATACATTAATCTCACCTGTTCCCCCAGTTCACATGACAACATTCTGAACATTCTGTTCTGTAGATGTCACACCAAATCAAAACAACAGTACATTGCCAAATAAAACAAGGTGTGACATAATAAGTACCATGATCTCTTTTCATATTTAATGCTGCCAAGCTGTGGGCTAATTCCCATGGCCAGACAGAGGATAAATTCTGTTTTCATAAAGGTGTTTTTAAGTTGAGTAATTCAGGATTGCAGGTCAAACTGCACCTGAAAAGGTGTCATCATCTGATGGAAATCCCAGGGTGTGTGCAACCACTGTCAAAAAGAAATCAAATCCTTTTGTTCACTATAACTGGATTTTGGTGATAACATTTGAAATGTCAAATTAGAAGTGAGAACAAAACGAAAAATAGGCCCTTCATTGTACAGAAAATGAAACTAATTTCTAAAAGCCATCCAGTAAAAGGAATATGCTGGTGCACTGGTAATTTTATCATTACTAACCATTTCAATCACTATTTAGTGCAATGGTGTTCTTTATCTCTCACAGATTATGGTTCAATGAGGATAATGCACTCATTTTTCATTGCATGTTAAAATTTTTTTAATGTACATTGGAAAGACCTATATATAAAATACATTATTTTTACATGACATGGATTTTTTAAAATTTTATTTTACATTTTGAAATCCTTTTGTTTTATAAATTAACATGACACAGCTCTTCTGTTCAGGGTCAAACGGGACCACGGCAGTATCTTTGTAATATAAACATGTAGGGGGAGGTTGCAAATACTGTATGTGAAATGAACCATTTTCATTTTCTATGTTGATTACACATATTAAGCCAAGCTGAAGAAGTTTCATACCAATAAAATACTTTAACAATTGTTTTTAGACGTTTTAACTTTATAGACATAACAGGGGGGTTAAAAGATAAAAACAAATTAGTGAAACTGTGGTAAAGTGATTAAAAGCTTTGATGCTTTGATTCTTTGCTAATTTCTTGCACCTTCAGCCATATTTGACTGTCAAGGTTTCCAGGTTTGTTAATCATTTGCTTTGCTGTGTCATATGATGATATGATAAAGGACACGTCAGACCCATGAAAAGAGCTGTGTACAGGTAATAACAAAACTGAAAGTTGCAGTAACACTTTATTTTACAGGTCTGTAAATTCCAGTTCTAAGTTTCTTTCTGAATAGACCCTTTACGTTGGTACTAATTACAGGCACAGTTAGAGCATTACTAGTTGGTACAGGTACACCTCCACCTATTTCTAAATGCTAAGCTAGCACAAACCTGAGGCTTTGATTCAGAGGATGGATAGTGAACTACACATGCAAAATGTTACATTTGCCCACAAACAACCATCCAATTCAGCATAAATGAAAAATACCATTTTGAATAATTAATAAATAAACACTAAATATTAACTGGGGTTTACACTGAGCAATTTTGTTTTTGGAAATTCACCTGGAAACCAGTAATAAAGTCATCACAACTGAGTGGTCTAACTAAAAAAAAAAAGCTGTCTTAGAACTTTGTCTCTGTTTTTCTATAGTTAATACCAAACTCCACGGATCTTTCCAGGAAACTTTCAGGAAATGATTAATAAACAGTAGACCTGTAAATTAAAGTGTTACCATGTTGCACTTTCACAATTAAAGAAACCTCTGAAAATATGTTACAAAATACACATAGTTTAAAACATGTACACTGCGTTCCTGATAAATTTTCACAGCACACTCACTGTGTTGGTTGACATTTGAATCTTTCTTATAAATTATGGTTTGCAACAGGTGTCTGTTTTCAAGATTCACTGAAAACATGCTATGATTTTGAGCTCAACAGTTAATTCTGGACCTTGCACAGAGCAGCTGATATAACAAGTCATATGATAGTTATAATATCTATTTTACAGCCATAATCTGATGAAACCAGTGATCAAATATAAAAACATACTTTTAGACAAACTTTAACTTTACATAATTAAAGGCTGATTTGGGATTTACAAAATCAAAGGGGAAAATTATACTGTACACTTAAAAATATTACTACTGTATTTATTACACACATCAGTCTGAGTGTATTACTCTTATTTACTCTTACTCTTATCAAAATATATGAGCAGTTTTCTTTTTTTTCAATCAGCAAAGTTTCACACATTCTTTTTGCATGATGATAAAATACTCCAGCTCAGTATCTTCACACAGCATCTCGGTACATCTTGTCTTGCACCTGCTGTACAGCATTTCAGTAGATTAGATCGAGAGACATTCATCCAGGGACACTGTGGCTGTACACAGCAAACCTCTCCATCCACTGGGCTACTGTGCCAGGACGCTTGGAGCAGACTTGAGTGAAAATGTTTTCTTTGTCACACTCACTCAGTCACTTATATTTGGTGATTCCTGCGTGCTGTCTTGGAGGCAGAGACACACCTCCCCTCCACTCATGGATCTTTGATCTCACATCGACACAGTGGGCAGAAACCAAACTGCCGAAAGATTCTGGAGTAGCAGGGGCCGCACAAACATCGGTGGCCACAAGGCAGAGTGACTTTTGCCCCGTTTCCCATGCACACCACACAGTCGTCATCTGTTATTTAAAAGTGAGAAGTTACATTTAAACATCAGAGGCAGGCAGGTGCACGCCGTGTTTTAATTCAACACAAGCATCATTACATTTTCATCTTTTCTGGTTAAAAAGCTGCAAAGACTTGTTCTTACTTGCTGGGATTTCATATGTGGTTGAGTCATCAGGAATAAAACTACAGGGGTTGCTAGTATTAGGTGAACTGAGGAGTTCAGGGGCAGGACAGGACTGCCTGGTGAAAAGCAGCTTCTTTTTCTTTGAGCCTGTATCACAGAGTAAGAGAGTTCAACCGTTACTTTTAACAGTTAACATTTACATTAGCAGGTAACATTAACAGTTCAGTTTGTTCTAACAGTCATCCAAACAGTTGTTGGCAGTGTTGGTGCACGTGAAATGCTCTGCCAACAAATAAATAAGAACAGGTAGTAAACTTACCCAGGAGGTTAATGGAGCATGTCTGTCCATAGATGTCTATCATGGCCCACAGCGGCTGACTGAGGTCCACTCCTCTTAGGAGCCTGTGTGGCTTGCTGTTGTTGCTTTTGATGTACATGGTGCCACCATGTGAAACCCAGAACTCCAGCACTGACCCTGCCTGGCAGAAAGCTTCATGCACAGGAGCAGCCCAGTGCCCGGGGCTCCTGGTGAGGTTAGGGATGGAAAAGCAGGGCAGAGGCAGAACTCTGTCTGAGGGCGGCACAGTGGTGAAGCCCACACGCAGAGCCCCCGTCCAGTTAAACCTGTCTTTCTCCACCCGCAGTTGCATTCTTTCCTGGACCTTCACTGGACGGTTGCTGAACACCAGACCGTTCTTGAACGTGCCCACTGTCCTCTCTGCGAGTCGACACTCATGGCTCAGACGGACATCTTTTCCGACAGCCCGAGAGTGGAAGGTCAGAGGGCCGAGGCAGAGCAGGCCGCACCTGTGTGACTTCCCTGCCGGATCAACTGCAGGAGGACAAAAACGCACATATGAATATTGATGTTCAAGCCATGTTTGCAGTAAATTCTTCAGTTCAACCATTTGGGCTACACCTGCAAAACAGCGTGCACGTGTCACAAACAATCCCAACAGCAGCAAACCATTGTATTGCACTGTATCTACTGCATTTTAATAAACAATAAAGTATAAGAACTGAACAATAACATGGGGAATTTATTTATTCTCTTTTACCATCAATGCAGTTAATAAAAACTAACTGTATGATCCCATCATTGAAGATCACACTAGTAATAAAGAGTAATGTTTTAACACCATATCAGATTATCTTAATCTTTGAGGCCAAATTTAGACTACACTGCCAGTAAGTTTCTTTACCTAAAGCAAATGCTAGTAAATCATTTGCCTTACTAAAGCATTAAAGCCAAATTAGATATCACAGCTTCAGTAAACATGCAGATAAAACTATAAAAACATCATAATGAAAGCAGCAGATGCTTTTGCTTTCACTTCTAAAGGAAGGAGGGTATAAAGTTCAGATAAGATTAACAATAAAAGTGAATGATTTACCATAAAAGTATACAAGTCATATCTCAAAGGATGTGATAAATATTAACTGATCCTGCAGGTGTAGGAAGTAATACTGCTGACAAGATTTTACACATCAGTGACAAGCTGCACATTTCCTGTAAAACATTTATCTTCTACTGTAGTTATTGAGGTGCTCTAGTTTACAGTTTGTAGCACAGGCCTTAAAGCAGGACTTCTCACTTAATGTTATTGGTTTCATGTCATCTTCCTCATTTGCAGTTTTACAGCACTGATCAGAAAGACGTCCTTGGTGTAAACAACTTGATTTTTTTGCCTCACTTAATCAGTGATCACTATCTTAACTGACAGAACAGAACAGATACGATGCTCAGCTGGTTATTTTTGTATACAGCCACTTATATCAGGTCTACACTGTAGCTTTCTGTAGATTTAGAGAAAAATAAGAACATAAGGACTGTTTTCCACCATGTGCACTGTACACAAAATGCCATATGCGAATAACTTTCATATTTTCACCCCATACTAATAAGCCACATCATAACAAATATCCATTTTATTTTGCATTAACATGAAAAATGTTTTAGATTGTTTTTGCTTACAAAAAGGTTTTATTATTTGAGTAATAAAATCAAAGCTTTCTGTTGAAACATACTGATATTTAAAGCAGTATTCTAACTTACATATTTTAGGTTCTTTGTAAAGACTAAATGTCAAGAATGAATATCTCACCTGAGTTCTCTATGCCACGCTCTATCACCATGATGAAAAGACAATTTCTACGTCTTGAGAGAAGATGTGCTCACCTCTGTATATTGGTTAAACTGAAATGAAACAGTTAGGGTGTCTCACAAAACAGGCTTGGTTGCTTTTATGGCGCACATGTGTTTCAAAACAGAAACATGAGCACGGAAAGCAAAAGGGGAGGTACCTTATTTGGAGAGCCTGAAAGGAAGTCTGGTGCCAAGGTGTCAGCATTATTTATGTGTGGAAATACCTGTTTACTTTATCTTATGTACCATCTGTTTTTCTTTCTTGACACACTGAATACTAACACTGTATGCACAGTGACCAGACATTGCTGCTGAAGTCTACTACTTCCATTTTACCAGAGCCACACTACAACAGGCTCTTGAAGGAATGAAATGCATTATGGCTTCCATTTAGTGAAACACTGGGAAATTCACCTGATTCAGTGTATCATGAAAAATATCACCGAAATATTGGCTCTCATGTCTCTCAGGGGCTTTGTGGATTCTAAGGAACTTTGAAAGCTTCTGTCATTGTGAGTGTTAGGAGGTTTGTCAGCCCCTACAGGAGCCAAGCTGTAATCACTTTAGTCCTCATTGGTTGGGAGTCCTGATCATGTGACAGATGCCACAGGAACTCCAAAATAGCATCATCATTCTTGGAAGGTTGCTAGATGTTCTACTTGGAATAACAACAATGACTATACTACAGAATTCCCCATCACCTCAGCCACAGCAGGCCACACCTCAAGTTAGACATGAAGGCATGTTTGAACATGCTTTAGAATTGCAAGCTTATTGTATGTAAAATACTATTTATGCATGTAATGGACAATTTATGTCCTGTAGACCAAGGATTTGATTCTAAGCAAAGATTTTGATTCCTTATATACAATAATGAAATATTCCTGTAGTTACAATATGTCAGTTTGTAAATTTAACAAAACAACTACAGGAGCTAGAAAATCTCTTAATTCACCCAGTTTTAAAAAAAAGCTGAACAATAGAGCACATGAAATTAACATTTGCACAATTTAGCATGTTGGTGGGGGCATAATATGGTAAAATAATAGAATAACTACTTGATATATGTAGTTTATGTTAGTTGCACAAAGAGAAGTGGAATTAAGTGCAGTAAAACCATAGTTTCTCTTGTAACATGTAGTGGTAGTTAGATTGTATATGCATGATTTTATTGAAATATATAGTTAAACTGAGCAGAATATGAACCATATGACATTTATTACTGTAAGAGAAATGTTTAACCAGCTGTACACACTATAAACAAGGCTTCCTAGAGGCAATTACACACTAGATATTTCCCCAAATGACACCCATTACTTGAATGATATACTTTCATATAAATCAACAATTATTTACTCCCTCAATTAATATAGACTATTTATAGACAAAATGAAAGTTACATGTTCTGAATAGTTTCATGTCTTTTAAAAGAAACAAAACCTACAATACAATTGTATGATACATTTATAACACTTTTATTACCTCCTCAAAAATAAGAAGTGGTTGACATGTTAAAGCTGGAAGATGTACAGTACCTGGGTGGATGGAGATGAAGGGATCTGTGAATGAGGTGGAGAACAACTCATTTTATTCTGTGTTGTCCTTTAAATCATGAGTGAAGATAAACAATGTTTTAAAAAGAGCCGGACTCCATTTCTTCGGTATTAAACCAGAAACAAAGGAAACCTTCCTCTTCTTCTCCTCTGTGTACTCCAGCTGCCTTTGCTCCACCACACTTGGTCAAACATGGCAGGCCATTAAAAAATCAACTTGTTCCCACTCCACCTGTTCAAAACACTATTAATCTGCTGCCTTCCAATAAAAGGCTCGGCTCTCAGTGAGGAGCCAATAGAAAAGCATTCAAGCCGTGAGACCCAGGCCAATCCCAGGCTGCATTTTAATGTGGCCTATCTTTATCATGGTGCCACTCCATTTCCAGATACTGCTTATTTATGATATCAGAGGAGAGAGGCAGCAGGAGGCATATGTCTTTAGGAGAACACTACGAGCTGTGCTCAGAGGGCTTGCCTGAAACTTCAGATATGGAGCTACCACACATCCCCTCTGTGGCTGAGAAGAGGTGAACGGCAGGAGTGAGGGGTTCATCTGCTGCAACACTGTTTCTGAGGTGGTAGCAGCTTTGGCAAACACCAAGGACCTTCAGTGCTTAGTTGAAAATCTGAGGACAGCAGGTGTGACCCCAGGTGCAGACAACATCTGTGGGTGAAAGGTCTCCTTGTTAACTCATCAGAGGTCTTTTCCGGACTGGATCTTACTGGATGTGTTACTGAGACCTGAAAGCAGAGAAACAAACTTCCCATGGATCCAAACATCCAAGGGTCTTTCTTGTTCAACAACAGCCTGAACCAATTCCCCTCGGAACTCAAGGCACCAGTGTGCCAGTACTCAGTGCCCAACTCTTTCTACAAGCTCAACCCAGGCCTGAACAGCCAGCTGCAAGCAGGGACACCTCACGGCATCAGTGACATCCTGAGCCGCTCCATGGTGGGGGTGGGCTCCGCGGGCACCACCACCCTGCTGTCCGGATACTCTGCCATGGGTGGGTTCAGCCCCTCTGTCACCAGCACATCCATGTATTATAACCGAGACTATAGTTCATCGCTGGGTGGCTTCTCCAAGCCAGGCGCCGAGTGCCCGATGAAGACTCGCAGTGTGAGCTGCTGGGCAGAGAGCGGCTGTGACTGGAGAGGAGGGAGGCAGCAGTGCACCAACAGTGAGTCTAAACACTGCAGACTGGACTCAGCATCCAGCTCATCAACGCTTTACAACTTCCCTGTGTCTGACTCTGAGGTCTCAGCAAGAGATGTTACCTTTAAGCGATGAACCAGCAAATTCATTGGGTAGTGAATCACTCAGAAAACATATCATGTGAAAACACAAATAAATTGCAGGTTAAATGTATTTGACCAGAACCTGTAGCTTTTTAAATGTTCTGAAACATTGAAAACTGTTTGTTGCATAAGATGTTACAATAGTCTTTTAAAGTGTTATATCTAGGGTGTATACCGAGTGCAGACAACCTATAAGAAAAAAGGCAATAAACTTATTTATAATGACTTCAAGTAGCATTTCAAACATGCAGTCAAGTATAAAATGTCATCTTTAGATAATATGCAGATGACATGAATGTGATGCTGCATTAAAGTGTTTATTACTGTAGATATTAGACTACTGTGATTTCTAACCTTATCAAGCAAGAACATTCAGCGTATGAGCAACAAATAGTGACACAGCAGGTCTTTATTCAAACTGTGAAAAAGCTAATGTGGTGATCTTTTTCATGGTTATACACATACACATATACATATACACATAAAACTAAACGAAATAAACTGGTATTTCTGTAGGTATTGATATATAATAGATTATGTTAAAGAATAAATTATGCTCTTGAATGATTTCTAATGATTTCCACTTTGTTTTCAGCTAGCGGTCCACTTGGGGAGATGCCTGGCAGGAAGAAACACACCAGACCAACATTCAGTGGACATCAGATATTTGCTCTGGAGAAAACCTTTGAGCAGACCAAATACTTGGCCGGGCCTGAAAGAGCAAGACTGGCTTATTCTCTGGGCATGACCGAATCACAAGTCAAGGTAAAGCTGATGTCACATTTACATCGCTGCTTTTTAAATGATGCTTTCTATGAGAAGACTTGCAACTTAAATGATACCTCTCTAGTTTTCTGGTATTGTAATTTACTCTATGTGCACATGTGAAGTAGCTCTTGCTTTTATAGAAACAAAGTTTAATGAGGCTACTTCCAATGCAGGAATAGAAAACACTTAAAATTTTGAATCTGTGCCATTACTCCCTACTACCACCAACATGTTACCTCACACACCAACAACTGTACGTACACACCATCATTCAGGAATGGAGTCATAGATTTTCATTGCTTGCCATGTTTGATAATGTCTTCAAACAAGATGCTACTGCTGAGTTACACAGCTTCATCCATCAGAGGTCACACCCACAGTAAAAAACCCCTTTTGTGTTGAGGTATGGTTTCAGAACCGACGCACCAAGTGGAGGAAGAAGAGCGCCTCAGAGCCAAGCTCCACACAGATCAGCCACACGGGGCAAGGTGGGGAGGCCTCGGAGAACGAGGTGGAGGACGAGGAGTACAATAAGCCCCTGGACCCCGACTCTGACGACGACAAGATCCGACTGCTGCTGCGCAAACACCGCAGAGCTTTCTCTGTCCTGCGGCTTGGGCCACACCACGTCTGACTCACTTCATGCAAATTACACACACTGCTACTGTACACGCATCCTTGCATGCTGTAATAAAAATCCTCCTAAATAAAAATGAATTCATTGTAATTATAAAAAAATAAGTTTTGGATATTAGGTTTAGGCAGCGAGCAGTTACGCATGTTCAGAAGAGTTCATTTGTGCTCATCCAACAATAGAGCATCAAAGGGTTCAATAGTCAAGTAGGGTGAAAAAAATAAAATGTTTACTTTTATAAGTTACTGTAAGAAAAGATCTCTGGCCTATTTACAGTGGGGAAATTATGTTATACACACCATTTTATAAAAACACAAGAAAATCACCTGAAAAAAAAAAACGCATGTTACTGCTAACACTAATAAATAAAATAGTAACCTGAAGTTGTTCATGCTTTCTCTTTTTGAACAGTTGAAGCTGTTTGTGATTATCTTGTGCTTATTTCTATTTCAAAATTGACCTGAATGAACCACAGATAGATGCCTCCTTAACCCATTTTTAATGATCATATGCTTAATAAAAGAAAACAAAAGTCAAATATCCTAAGCCGCTCAATCAAAAAATCTGAAATTAAAACTTGACAAACCTGAGTAATTTATACAGATATTTTAAAGGCACTAAATGAGACATTATGATTTCTGTGCTGATGAACCACAGGACAGAAACCTCTGAAATATGGGGTGTTTAGAGGCAGGAATACATTTTTAATAACTGAATGTAGACTTGAAGTTGGTTGAAATAAATAAAATAAAATAAATGCAAACACAATGCAAAAACATTAAGATGGACAAAGTTTTAAAAAAGTAATTATTGTGGATTATTTGTCACACTAAGTAGAATAAGTGTCATACTTTGAAATGAAAAATTTGCGCATCTGCCATCAAGTTACAGTTAAAACAGAACTACAAGCAAAAAGGTGCGAAAGCTGAACAGAGGTGCAAAGGTCAAAGGTCAAATCATGTGCAATTTACTAGTGCAATGTGGCTTAATTGAGGACAATGACCCCCGCAACCCACTCCAACATAAAATCAATATCAACAGAGCAGATAATTTGCCATTTCTGTTCTGAGTGAGTGCAGAGTCCATCTGGTTCGGGCAGCTGACATCAGGCCGGATGATTCTGTCAAAGGCAAAGCGGAGGAATTCTGCTTTGATTACTACCATCAAAGACAGCAACACAGGCTGCATTGGGCCAGCACTTTAACACTAGTTATTGATGTTATCATATGCTGCCAGTTATTTCATTATGTAGATGCTGCTCGGGTTCATATTATAGCTAGAATAATGCAAATAATTAAAATGTATGAATCATAAAATCTTTGTGATTTATGAACTCTCAGGTGGAAATACATGCTGCCGTGATTTTTTTTTTTCCTTTTCAAATCTGGATTTATCGGAGTCAAACTATTTCCTCAACATAAAAATGAAATGCAATAGGATGAATTCAGTTGCTTGATTTGCTGGCCCTTGATGACTTTCAGTCTGAAAATGTACTAAATAGCCAAAGCATTCCAGCTTTAGAGGGCAGGCTTAATACCTTGTCTGTTTAAGATGTAATTTTTCTTCTGCCACAAAATAAGCACAGTTCACCCTTGGCTGCATGCACTGGAAACTAAATGCATAACACAGACATACAGCGCTGGAGTGAAGTTCGCTGATGTCCATTTTTGCATGAACCTAGTGTTTCTTCAACCTTGGGCATTCCAGTTAAGATTTAAGCATCTCTTTTCTCAACAACTACAATGGACATGTGTTACTTCACCCTGCCTTTCAGGTTTAACAGCCTCCTGAGTAGAATGTGAAAATGTGACTGTAGATAGATATGACCTCATCTTTCACATTCCCTTAGACAGATGCAACTCAAATTAACTCTAATGTTGTGACAGCGGTTGTTCCCGAAAGCCAAAGCTCTCAGTCTCTTAATTCCCAACTATGTATAGTACAATGCCGGTAAAGCCAATACATAATAATATAACATATTTAGAAGTGTATATTTTTATTTACAAAAGTGAAGCATCACAATGATGTAGTGTTTGACCAGAGTTCATCTATAAACAGCTCCATCCCATGACCGCTCAGCAGTGAACCACTACACATTTGTTACTTACAAACTGTTCTCACCTACATGGACATGGGCATCAATGATTCTTAACTTAATCTGGTTAATGCAAGGATTAAGTCCCACTGCACAAACATGACTCTAAATCCAAACTTGGTGGCTATCTGTGATTTTATGCACATATTGTTGTGTAAGTACAGGAGGGTTGTATCACTGAGTTGTGTTAGACAAAATACATTTTCACAACAAATACAAGAAGTAACAAACCACAAACATATTTTAAATTCTGACAATTAGTCATTATTAAAGCCAGATAAAACAAATCTAACCAATAATTCATGCAGCAAAATTATATTACAGCACTGTTGCTACAGGAATCAAGGAAATAAAATAAGACACAAATGAAATAAATCCAAAAGCAAAAT